ACGAAGCCCCCTAGGAACCAGAGCCCTATGGGGGTTTCACTGTCATGAATGGTAAGTGCGAGTCCAAAGGGGGTGCATTGGGGCAGCTGGGGCAGAAGACAGCAAGGGTGACCTCCAGAGAGCCAATCACGGGCAGGCCATCTCATTCTTGCCTCCTGCTGAATTGTACACTGTTGGTTTTAATGAATGTATGAGGCCATCTTGGTGGTCCCCCCCCCCCCCACATTTTTTTGTAAAGTCTCTTTGAGTTCCCTGCGGCAAAATAGTATCTAATAAATTTAACAAATAATAATGGTAGAATTATAGAATTGTGAAGTTGGAAGGGAACCCAAGGGTCATTTGGTCCAGCCCCTTGCAATGCATAAATTTCAGCTAAAGATCCATGATAGATGGCAATCAAACCTCTGCTTAAGAACCTCCAGTGAAAGAGAAAATGCCACCATGCAAGGAAGTCCATTCCACTGTCAAACAGCTCTTTCCATCAGAAAGTTATTCCTGATATGGAGTCAGAATCTCCTTCCTTGTAACTTGAAGCCATGGGTTTGAGTCCTGCCCTCCAGAGTAGGAGAAAACAAGCTTGTTCCCTCTACCATGTGACAGCCCTTGAGATATTTGAAGATGGCTCTCACATCTCCTCCCAGTCTTCTGCTACAGGCTAGACATACCCATCTTCTTCAACCATTCCTCACAAGACTCAGTTTCCTTTATTACCCTCCTCTGCATGCCTTTCAGCTTGTCCATCTCCTTCTTAAACTGTGGTGCCCAGATATAAATAAAATATTGGGGGAGGGCCCAGGTAAGTCCCGCCCTGCATAATTGATCACATGATATGGCACGCACACACCATTTGAATTGCAATGTCCATCAACTGGGGGGGGGGTCCAGCCCCCTCAAATATTTTATTGGTGGGGTCGAAGGAACCTCAGCCCCTAGGAGTTGGCTCCTATGTCCCTAACCATTGGTCATCCTGGCTGGGCCTGATGGTAGTTAAGAGTCCAGGAGGAGGAGGACCACAGACCCTGCCCCTGACTGCCTTGTAAGCTGCCAAACACATATTTGGAATCACAAAGGTTAGAGACTTGATCTTTGAGAGATCAATAAATTAATGGAAAGCCACTTCACAGATTGCATTGCGAAAAGCAAGACAAAAGACTGGGAGTGCATGAGCGTCAGCTGCGTGTTTGTAAACAAGGTTCACGGAGAGACTAGCAGGGAAATCAGGAAGTCCGTGGCTCTCAAGACAGGTGCCACTGGCTCAGCTAGGGAAATGGGGATGTGTCTTCTCCCAATTTAAGGAATCCCATGGACCTGTTGTTGAGAGGGGGAGGAGAAAGGGGAGCTGTGTGGATGACCTCTTTGTAACTGCAGTGCTAGGTTGGGACACTAGCAATTTCATTAGTAAAGCTTTCGAAACTTCCAGACGTGGTAGAAGACTCCTCTTCGGAGTCAGCCAGCACACCCACTGAGATTAAGGCAAACTGCAGGGGAGTTATAAAAGAAGGCAAACTGGTCAGGAGAATGGATCTGTGCAAAGTTATTATTCATGATACAGCTATATGGAACCTCCAGATTTAGAGGCAGTCTACCTCTGAACTGCAGCTGCTGGGAGCCAGGGGGGGGGGCTGGTGCAATCATGTCCTGGTTGTGGTCTTCCTGGAAGTGTCCAGTTGGCCACTGTGAGGAACAGGACAGACTCTTGGCTGGATCCAGCAGCATGCTTCTTATGTGCTGGGCCTGATGTGAGAGATGGATCTCCAAAATCTGGTTCATGTTTATGTGTGAAGGCTCTGCACATAGGACAAGAAAAAGGTGAGGCGGAGACTTAGCCATGGGCACCCATTTCAATCGCTCCTGTCCATTGAGCAAGAGCCACACACCCCTTGCCTTCCACCTTTCCTGCTTCTCAGGGACATCTACCCAACATGACTGTTTCTGCAGGATGCTGCCAATGCTCTTCTCCTCCAACCTGTCCTCAGGACGGGGCAGGTGGGCAGGCAGCTCCAAGGCGAAACAACGCTATTGGGAGTCTTCAAGGAAGGCTCATTCCCGCTTTCTCATCCCTGGATGATTCTCCTGTGGTGTCAGCCCAGACACCAAGGGCTCTGTGCATGCCACGCTGGTGCCCTCTGTTGGAAGCCAGCAGGCAGTGCTGATGGATGGGAAGCCAGACGTCAACAATGTGCATGGAGAAAGAGGAGCTGAAACTCCCTGCTTCCCCTTCACAACATGCGCGCGCACACACGGATGAATTCCAAGATAGGGGACATTAGCCTGGAAGGTACTTCAACATTCTGGTTCCCCACCCCCAAGGCACTGAGATAGTTCTCCCTTGTCACTCCACCTGGTACACAGACTGAGACCCTACCTGCCCACGGACTGTCTCACCAGAGTGGTATATGCTCTGGTTATCTCCCGCTTGGACTCCTGCAATGCGCTCTACATACAGCTACCTTTGAAGGTGACACGGAAACTGCAACTAATCCAGAATGCAGCAGCTAGACTGGTGACTGGGTGTCAGGAACGTGGCCCCCCAGGGAGCAGCAAAAGGGTCAGCCTCAGACATTGAGCAAGGAGCCGACTCTTCAGCTGAGAGCTGTCTGTCTGAGTTTAGACAGCTGTCTGTCCCTCCTTCCCAAGCAAGTCACTGTTAGCTCTCAGGGTGAAGGAGAGCTGGAAGGCAGCCACAGTGAAGGTGGCCTGCCAGCAGGTAAGTGAGAGACAGGGTCCACTGAGAGGGGGAAGGGGGAAAGCCAGCTTTTCAGTCCCCATGCCAGGAGATTGGAGAGGCTCAGAGACTTGCAGAAGGGGAGGAGGAGAAAGGCAAAGTTCTGGCGTCCTTCCTGTTGGGGGAGGGATTCTGAGTCAGACTGAGCAACTCCTTTGCCGAGAGAGGGCAGGAAGTTTTGCTGTGGATGTTTTGTCCTTTGTAAATAAACGTACGTGAAGCTGACAGAGACTCATTACTGCTTATCGGACTGGTTGCATGCCAGGGATCAATAGCCTGGGAGTGGCCACAGGACCATATAACACAGGTCCTAAAGGATCTTCATTGGCTCCCAGTGTGTTTCCAATCACAATTCAAAGTGTTGGTGCTTTAAAGCCCTAAACTGTCCCAGCCCAGTATACCTGAAGGAGCGTCTCCACCTCCATTGTTCAGCCCTGAGGTCCTCCTGTGAGGGTCTTCTGGCAGTTCCCTCACTGCAAGAAGTGAAGTTACAGAGAACCAGGCACCCTCCCTGTGGAACGCCCTCCCTTCAGATGTCAAGGAGATAAAGAACAACACTACTTTTCAGAGACAGCTGAAGGCAGCCCTGTACTGGGAGGTTTTTAATGTTTGATGTTTTTGATTATGTTTTTAGATATGCTGTAAGCCTCCGAGTGGCTGGGGAAACTCAGCCAGATGGGCAGGGTATATATAAAACTATTATTATTATTATTATTATTATTATTATTATTATTATTAACACGGGTCACTACAATTCACACCCATAAGTCACAGTATTGATAGTGATGATGCTAAATCAGCATGGTGCTGTCCAGATGAGGTAGGACTCCCCCATCCAGCAGGGCCAGCAGTCAGGGATGATGCAGGTTGTGACCCTCCATCACCTGAAGGTGCCATGCTGACTCTCCTCCCACTATGGGATCCAGTAACAAGAACTAGAAAGAAGACTCTCTGAACTCAGCTTTTGAACAGGGATGGAAGCTTTGTTTCATTTACTCAGACCATGGATCAGGTAAAGGAGGGCAGGGGGATTTGTGATCCTCCAGATCTGTGATCCTCCTGCTGGCACTGGTGTCTAAGAACACCTGGAGGACCACAATTTTGTCACCCCTGAGCTAAAACTTCAGGGGCCAGTCCTAATCAAGGAGAGCAAAAATGAAGTAATACGACAGCAAACTGAGGACCTGTCTATCCTCAAAATCCTTTTGTTTCAGTACTTTAATGTCACAGAATGAAAAGAATGCACATTCCTTCTGAACTATTAGAGAGCTTTCATTTGGCAAATCACTTCTATTGAATGAAATAATCAGTTAAGATAAAGTAGGGGCAACTAAGGGAGAGATACATTAGTCAACATCCTTCTTTTTCAGTTGGGCCACCTTCGGAGAGGAAAAGACCCATCTAGTCCAACACCCTGTTCTCATTGTGCTGCGTGTTCTCACAGTGGACAACCTGTAGGAAGCCTGCAAGCAAGACCTGAGCAATATATATTTCCAATAGCAGGCCCTGGGGGGTGGGGGTCTGAGCCAGATTGGGACTGCAGGAGGGGCAAACGGTTGCAGACCCTTTGCCCCCACACCAGGGTTCATAAGAAGAGTCTGTTGGATCAGGCAATGGTCCACCCCATCCAGCTTCCTGTTCTCCCACTGGCCAACCATTCGCCAGTGGGAAACCCTCAAGCAGGACTCAAGCACAAGAGCCCCCTCCCTCCTGTGGTTTCCAGCAGCTGGTCTTCAGAAGCATCACTGCCTCTGAGCAGGGAGGCAGAGCAGAGACATCCCAGCTAGTGGCCAGAGAGTCCAATCTTGACTGGGTATCTTCCAATCTAGCCAGCCCACATCCTAAGCTTGCTATTTATTTAAACACACACACAAGGGCTAACAACACGATCAACATCCCTCCTCCAGTTTGGTCCTCAGGGTAAGGCAGCTTCATCTCTTAAGATGAACCCCACACCGGCTGCAGATCCAGACTGCATGGAGACAGCTTCATTGGTCTAGAGCCACCTGCTCTGCAGACAACCAGGGGGCGGGGGAGGTCTTTGTTGGCTGTGGCAGAGAGAAATCTACATGGCAAGCAGACAAGGAGCCCACAGCCATGCCTTATATTTTAAGGGTGGTGGTGGGGAGACACACTTTGCAGAACACCCCAGAGGTAACCCTTGGCATTTCCAGTTAAACTGGTCAGGCGATGGGAAGGACTTGCCTGTCAGAGACTGAAGAGCTGCTGGCATTCAGAGCAGATGATCCTGGGCTGGGAGAACAAGCAGCTTAAAGGAAGGGCCATAGCTGAGTGGTAGTGCAGCTGCTTGGCATGCAGAAGGTCCCAGGTTCAATCTCTGCCGTTTCTATTGTAGGGTGATGAAAAATGCATTCTCTGCAGGAGACCCCAGAGAACAGCTGCCAGTCAAAGTAGACATCTCTAGGTGGACAAATACCTTAAGGTGATATTAGGCAGCTTCCTATGTTCCTATTTTTTGCCTCCATCCTGCATGACATCCTTCCCCAACCTGGTGCCCTCTAGATGTTTTTGGACTCAACCCCAGGCAGCACATTTACACAACATTGAGCATGATGGCAGTTGTAGTCAAAAGCATCTGGAGAGTTCCAGATTGGGACGGCTGTTGTCCAAATTAGACATTTCCCATGTCTCTGCTGACAACAGCTCATCCAGGCACTTCCATTGGACCTGGGGATCAGCTGCAGTTCTCGTAACAAAAGCTGAACTCCATGTGTCCATTCCAAGAACTTCACCTTATCCCATTTACAAAGCAAATATTTAGTTTGGATTTCTTATTAGGTGGATGGAAAACACTGGCCATGAGTTAGAACTTGATTCCTGCCCCCATTTCCCAATTATCCCAATTGCTGTTTCTCATAACTGAGCAATTGCATCCAAATCACCCTTGATCATTAAGGACCACTTTGCAGGAGACACCGAGGCCTGTCCCAGCAGGATCTCCAACATTTGTCTAGCTCATTTCAGTTCCCCACTGCCCAATCAGGGATGTGTTCTGAGTGCCCTGCAAACTGTGCTGCCTTGTGTGCGCGCACGCATGTGTGTGCACTCCGCTTGGGGGGTTACAAAGGGCTGCTGCAGGGGAAGATCTAGAATTTCAGGGGTGTCAAAACTCTGAATAAGGTTGCACACACCTTTCTGTGGAAGGGGGGAGACAACCCAGCATAAACACTCATGATGGTCTTGGACCGCTCCAACATCACTGAAGAACAAGGGTGTGCAGCCAGAGGGGGAGGAATCTGGGACTCTGCCTCCTCCTCTCTCTTCTCACAACAGAGAAGAGGTGATGACTGTGTAGAGAATTAACAAGCTTACTTCTTAACAGAGCACACGGTTGAACTATGGAGCTCGCTTCCACAAGAGGCCGTGATGGCCACCAACCTGGATGGCTTTCACAGAGGACTGGACCAATTCATGGAGAAGGATTTCCGTGGCTACCAAGCACAATGGCTCGGCTCTGCCTCCGTGGTCAGAGGAAGCAACGCTTGTGAATTGCTGGAAACTTCAGGAGGGGAGAGGGCGCTTGTGCTCAGGTCCTGCTTGTGGGTTTCCACGGGGGCATCTGATTGGCCACTGTGAGAGCAGGATGCTGGCCTGATCCAGCAGGCTCGTCTTCGCTCCCATCTCTCTCCACCGTTTCCTTAGGCAGATCTCCGCCTAAGAAGAAGACCCTCCCCCCGCTCTCTTTCTGAGATCTCTGGGCTTCCCATCTGTGAGAGACGGAGAGAGAGATCTCCACACCCAGAATCAGCCTGCCCCTCCCGCCGCTCTCTTGGCTTTCTACCTTCCGCCTCGCTTGCTCCGGGCTTAGTAGATCATTACAGAGAGGGCGGCGGAAAAAGCGGACGAGCGAGCGGAGAATGGATACCGCGCTTGGCTCCCTCCTGCTTTGCCTTTGAGGTCCCCCCCCCCAATCGCATCCAGGGACCCCCCTCCCCTTCCTCGCGCACCTGGATTGTTCCGGCGGCGATTAGCATAACTGGCCCCCTCCCTGCAGTCAGGAAGGAGGCGGCCCCATAGATCGGTGGCTCCCCTCCCTCCCTCCGCCCTCCCCTCCCCGCGCGTCCCTCCCTCCCGTTTCCAAGCGGCGACCGTCCCAGCGCAGCGCGCCGCCCGCTTGCGCGTCGACGGGGCGACGCGCGCCGCTTCCCGTCGGCTGCCCCCTGCGCCGCGCCCGCGCCCCGTGTGCCGCCGCTCTTCCCGGCCCGCGCGCCGTCGCACCTGCCCTTCGCCAGGCGCCCTGAGGAGCCGCCGTTGCCGTGCCAGGAGCGCCGCGAGACCGACGAGGGCCTGCGGGAGGGGCCGGGCGGTGGCCCCGTCGTGCCGGGAAGAGGGCGAGGCGCCGCCGAGTCCCGAGTGGAGCCGGGCGCGGAGCGAGGACGGCCGGAGAGCCAGCGCGGCTGGTGCGCTGGGCGGGCGGGCGGCGCTCGAGGGCGAAGCGGGCGATGCCATTTCTTGGCGAGGGAGTCGGGCGGCCAGCATGAAAGATGCAGGTGAGGGGCGCCGGGGACCGGAGGGGGGAGGCTGGTGAAACGAGAGGGGGGGTCCGGGCGGGGCGGGGGCGAAGGTGAGGGATGACTTGGTCCGGATTTTGATCTTTGAGGGGGGGTTGTCAAGGCATAATTTGCGGCTCAGGGGATTGTGCTTCTCCGCTGTAATAGGTAGTGGGGCGGGCGGGGGTCGCCTGGCTTGGTGCCGGAGAACCCGAGCCAGGTTTAATAGGAGGGAGGGGAGCGGGGGGGGGGGTTTCTAATTTGCTGCCTTTTTACACAGTGCTCCAGATTCGATGCTGTGGCGATGGAGAGCTTGCTAGAGGTGCGGGGGCGGGGGGCGGAGAGATCCTCCTTTGCCCGTTCAGAACTCCGCTCTAGATGTGTGTGCATTTATCCTTTTCAGAATTAGGGCGGGGGGCTGTGGAGATTTCGGGTTCCTGGCTCTTTTGAGATTCTCGGGGTAATGGTTGCCTGCCTTTCCCGCGATTTAGGGCTTTGTTTTGTTCCCCACCCCCCAGCTTGATTGAACCGGGTGGGCTGCTCCTGCCTCGATTGGGAAGGAGGTGCACCAGATTTGGGGTTCAGCTGTGAGCTTGAGGGGTCTGCTCTGGGAGCTGATGTTGGAGGGGCAGTCTGCACCAGTCCGTCCACAGCCAGCCTCCTAGCATGCAGTCTCGGTACTCCTAGCTGTTAACAAGGCAGTAATAGCCCACCATCACCCCCCCCCCCATTCCTGGGTCTTTGGGGTTTGCCCTATGGAGCCTGCTGGCTTTGGGTGAATTTGCTCTGAGGTTAGTAAGCACTGGCTGATTTTATAAACGCACCAGGAGAATAGTTGGGGTTTTTTTTGGGGGGGGGGTACATGCAGGATAAGCTGCGTTCCTTGGGAGTGACATCTGGGTGTGTTTATTGTCTAGCGATGCCTTTTTCTCCCTTTACCTTTGCCAGGTGTGTGTTCGTGTTAACAGATGTGGGGCTGTGTATGTGTTGCTTGAATCGATGTTCGGGTGTACAATGGTCGTATGTGGCATTATTTTTGGACTAAGGAAGGAGGAGGGTTTAAAATGGTAAAAAATGAGAGATCTCTCTGGGTGGATCCTGCAATGGACGGCGTGGGGGTTGAGGTGTTGCCTTTCCCTTCTGCATCATCTCTGGGTCTTTTGTCCCAGGTGAGCGTTTCTGGGTCGCCTTTTCTTATGCAATGCATGTCCCTTTCTCTTTTGTCCCGATCTACGATGGTTGTGTGTGTGACTGCCTTGTAGAAAGGGATAGGGACTGGGTGCTTCGGGGCAGATCTGTTATCAGAGGAGACCTGTCAGTTCTCTTTCTGTCTCTGTTTGCACACCAAACAAGGGGTCTAGAAGAAAAGGGTGTCGTTGGGGGTCAGTCCTTTTCGAGTGTAGGAATGTGTTGCGTTGCAAGAGGATGAGTCGAGAGAGCCCCCCCCCCCCAGCAGCCAAGGCACAATGTTTTCTTGGATGATGATGCCTCAGAGCTGGAGGCTTTTGTTTTTTGGTTTTTTGACAATGCCTTCCTTCCTTCCTTCCTTCTCCCCACCTCCCCACCCCTCGACAAAATCACTCACTGGCTTTCCCTGTGGCCACACCAGCTGCCCCAGCCTTAGGTCTCCATGTGAGGAGAGTTGCATCCCTTGCACAGCCATTGCCCCCACATCTTTAGCTGGAACCCACTGAACCCCCTTATCGCCTTTGGGAGGAAGTGTGTGAAGCAGGGGGAGGGGCAGGTACTTAGATGGGGTTGAGAAACAGGCTGCACAGGGTTCCTCTGGCATCTGGGTGAATGGCTGGGCCTGTTCAGGGTTGCCCTGATGGGCCCTTTGGCCCCTGGGCAGAGAGCTGGGAATCGAACATTGGTGACCCTCTGCTGGATGTAACTGGGAGGGTCGGCGGAAGCAAAGTTCCCCTCAGTGGCCAGGCCGGCAGCCAGCTGGGTTTAAGGTTATTGTTTACCTGGGTGTCCTAAACTGTAAGGAGGCAGTTAAAAGCCAGGTTACTATCAAAGCAGGTGCCTAGTCCCCCCTCCCCTTTCCTTCTTATTGATTTAGTTAAGTACAAATATAACAAACAAGGAAGAAACCAAATAATCAAAAATGTAAACCATAACAGTTGCAGCCTGGGAGAGCAAAAGCACAGTGCAGAGATTTTAAGCTGCCTAGGAATCACATTTAGGAAGCTGCCATATGGCAAATTAGACTGTTCACCCACCTAGCCCAGTGCTGTGGGCTCTGATTGGCTGGGATCTCCAGAATCTCAGACTTAAGAGATATTTTATCGCTTGGTCCCCTGGACTGTAGATCTTGAGGCATAGAACCTGGGACCTTCTATGAGCAAAGAATGTGCTGTGCCCCTTGGCTATCTGACCCCGACACTCTCTGCTGTCTGTGGGCTGATTGCAGTGGCTTAGTGACTTTGCGCATGCCCAGTGGCACTACTTGTATTTCTGGCATTCCAGGCCATGTTCTGGTACTAAGAATGGGGCATCTAGAAACGGAAGATGCCAACCAGTACATGAGCCTTAAAAGCTGATGAGTTAGCTCATGGTACATTGTGCTCATTGTGCATTGTTGGCTGTTTGGCCTGGCAGTGGCTTCTGGAGACTTCAACAGAGGCCCTTCTCAGCCCGGGTACCTGAGATCCCTTTCTGTTAGGGATGCCTGGATCTGGGACTTTTTCTGCTTGCAAAATTTGTGCTCTGCCTCTGAGCTTCCAAGTAATAATTTTAATCATAATTTTGTTATTTATATGGTGCCCATCTGACTGAGTTGCTCCAGCCACTCTGGATCTACATACATCAGAGATTTAAAGAAGGCAATGGTTTGAATAAGGGCTCTGTGTGTTTTGAAAGCTTGCCAAGTCCCCATCACCAGAGGTAGCTCAACTCAAAAGTATTCATCTGTATGAGATTGCTTGACCTCTGGACAAAGAAACTGACAGACAAATGAAAATGTGCCACATTGACACACAAGGTGTGTGTGTGTACCTCAGCAACTGGTGCACATCTGTGCAAAAGACTCAGGCAACTCCTCATACGAGTGGGCCAGTCTGGCATGTTGGCCTGTGGATAAGAGGTTTCTCTGGGAGTGAAAAAACTCAATTGGATTAAGAGGTCAACCTCACCCAGTTGGGGAAGACTGGATTAGGACATGCAGGAGAGTAACCTGGAGACCCTAGGACATGAAGAAGTGGTGAAAACAGCTGAAAATGCACAGAAAATGATATTAATGATATTGCTATGATGCCTGCACCAACGTAGGATACAATCCAGCAACTACCAACTGCTGAATTAAATGGGCGAGAGAGCACGTATTTAAATTGAAATAAATAACATTTAAAAGTGCTTAACTGTTGTTAGCTCAGTGCCCATGTTTCTCATATAGTACTTTTGAGTGTCCAGAGCACTTCACCTGCAACAGTTGTATAAGGCAGGAGGTAAGTATTATTGTTCCCATACTGCAGATGGGGTGACTGAGGCAAAGAGAAAGCGGATTGCCTAGGGCCACCTACTGAGTATAATGAGCTTATGAAAGAGGCAGAATATGAACCAAGAACCTCCTGGTGGAGCAGAAATGAATACCCACCATTTTTTTTCTCCAGAATTCACCAGGCTTCTTTTGAAAGAAAAATGCTGAAGGCCCCCTTGAATTTGTTCTTTGAATGTGAAACCTTGAAACTTGGGGCACTATTTAGACTGTTGATTTTGGCAGGCTTCAAATATGACAACTCACAAGCTGTTGCCTGTCAAAAATACTAGCTGTTATTGCAGGTTATGCTGTAGAGTATACTGAATGGCATTGCATTATGCAGCCACAATATACCATTGCATTTCAACAATTTAAATTCTACTGCATGGCATACCAGGGCTTTTCAGACGGCCTTCGGGATAGCCTCCCACAACTTGGTGCCTTCCAGAATTTGTTTTGCCTACATCTTCCACCATCCCTAACCAGGGGTGACAACTTGAATAAAATATGGGGGGTGGGCAGGGTAAGCTCCGCCCCACATAATGGATCACATGATACAGTGCATGCATCAACTTTTGGGGGGGCCCTCAAATATTTTATTAGAGGGGTGAAGGCCCCCTTGGCCCCTAGCAGTTTCCTCCTATGTCCCTATTGGCCATGCTAGCCAGAGCTGATAGGGGTTGTAGTGCACAGCATCTAGAGGGCACCAGGTTGGGGAAAGGCTGCTCTGGGGAACTGCAGTGATTTTTGGATGCTTAGCAAGGGTTGCTCAATTAGAAGGATGATAGACAGATACAATGCCTGCTATTGCTGATCTTCCTGGGCTGAAGGAAGAACAAGATCTACTGGCAGATTCTTGGATAATTTGCAATAGGCTGGTGAGGTCTTCTGACTCCCAAGAGCTGAACCATGGTAACCATGAAAAGTGAAGCTTGTGAGTAGTAGACATACACAGCTAGCGTCAGGAATGATATTTTGTTCATACATAGGTTGCACTTCTGTGCCTGCTTTATGAGCCTCAGTGTTTCCCATCTTAAAAATGGGACTTTAGGCTTCATTGTGCTGCTGTCAATTGCTGTTCCATAAGAATACAGTAAATGATTCTAATAGTTCTCAGCCGTGGTTGGCCTAAAGCTAATTGATTCAGTGTCAACAGATGTATTACTTGGCTTTCTTTGGCTCAGTACAGTTCAGCAGTTATTGCTGGTTGTGATGGCTGCATGCTACCCCCATGAACAGAGGCATTGTGTCCCTGAATACCAGTTGCTGGAGAGCACAGGGTGGAAGAGGGCTATTGCACTCATGCGCTACCTGTGGACTTCCCATAGGTGCATATCTGGTTGGCCGTTGTGAGAACAGAATGCTGGGCATGCAAGGCCTTTGGTCTGACCCAACCTGGCTCTTCATATGTTTTCCTGAGGTCCACCAAATGGAACCAGATGCAGAATGGCAGAGCCAGCTGCCTCTTGCACCCCATGAGCCATGCACTGGAACAATCTGCCTATGTATGGCTCTGCTCTGAGGCAGGGTGAGATCAGCATCTCAGGTATCAGGTGATGGGGAAAGTGAAGGCAGCCCCCTGGCTGTGCCTCCTAAGTGCTCTGGCTCCATCCTTCTCCTAGAGGACCAAGCAGGGAGATTCATGTCCTGTCCCTCAATCCAATAGCTAGCCTGCTGCCCGCAGGAGCGACGGAAGTCGGTGGACGTTGCAGTCCCGTTACCAATATTAAAATGAGATTCACTTGCCAGTGCGGTCAGTTTCTATATGTGGGAAGGTCATGGTGCCACCTTGCACTTCTCCTCAGGCAGCAAAACACCTTGGGCAGCCCCAACCCAAGCAAAAATCTGCTTCTGAGTTTCTCTCAGAGCTCCAGGGCTTCTTCTCATTCAGTTCAGTTTGTATGTGACAGGAACAGCAAATTTGCTGTGTGCTGTGTTTTTAGGGAAGTGCCCAGTGCTGATCAGGCATCTCACCTGCTATCTAATTCTTGCTGAAACAATATCTACCTAATTAAAGAAAACATGGGGGGGGGGAGCTTTGATGCAAATATTTTTCCATGGGGCAAAACTCCATAATAAATAAATGTAGATCCTACCACTTTCCCTAGACACAGTCCATCACTTGGATACTTTCAGCACAGCCGAGGAGAACCTCCTGTCTGAAGGCCCTTCCCAGCTCAGCCTGCCAAAAGTGTGCCATCAAACTGTGGTCCTTCCTCTTCCTTCCCTAGATGAGAGTGGAAAATGAACATACAATCCATTAGATTACTGCATAGAGCATCACACATACACCCCCCCCCATGCAAGCTAATACAGCTCCTTCAGAGACATCTCCCGTGATGCCTTTTTGGAAGTAGTCTTGAAGTGGTTTGAAAGTGGTGGCCCTGATCCCAGATAGCAACCCACTCTTCTTTCTCTAAGCAGTTGTGGGTTTTATTACCATCTCCTGTTGCTCTGGGCTTTGCGTGCAGAAAGATCCAAGTTCAGTCAGGGGCATTTTCAGTTACTAGGCTTTCAGCTAGGATGGAGAGATGTGATTTGGGGGCTTTGGTGGACTGCTCTTGGCCTACTCTGGTGTCAAAGTAGATCAAGAATGGTGGGGGGACCTTTTCAGCCTAAGGGCTGCCAATCCTTGTGGGGAACTTTCCAGGGGCTGCATGCCAGCAGTGGGTGGGACCAAGGTAAAAGGGGGAGGAGCAACACATGTAATAATTACCTCCACATGGTAGGCTAGTTCCTACACACTGTCTCACATCCCTCTCTTTCCTCTGTCTGGGTGAGCCAAAAGAATTTCCAGAGCTTCAATACATATTCCAACCAGCCAAACTGAGGTGGCCATTGGCGTGCCCAGGGCAAGAGCCCCCCCCCCAGGCAAGATGGAGAGGATTTCATAGAATCATGGAGTTGGAAGGGACCAGGAGGGCCACCTAGTCCTGCTTCCTGCAATGCTGGAATCTTTTGTCCAACATGGGAATCGAACCCAAGCCCCCAAGATTGAGTCTCGTGCTCTGCCATCTGAGCTCTCCATTGAGTGGGGGCTGCATTGGGCCGATGGGCCTGAGGTCGTCCCCCCCAAGCAGATGGTCCTGTATCCTTCTCCAGTCCAGTGCCCTCAAGCTGTATTGGGCTACATCACCCCTTGGCTGCACTTACTGGAGCTGATGGGAAATGTGCTCCAAAACATTTTGAGGGCATTTTAGGGAAACAAGCAGAGCTGTGTAGGATCCTGGTGTTAAGCAGATTTAGACCACATTCCCTTCAGTGAAGGTGCGGCCTTGCTTTCCTTCAGATCACGCCCCAGGGGCAAAATGGTGAGGGTCAAAAGCCTATTCTCAATCCAATTCGTCACCCCCAACCCACATTTGTAAAACCTTTGAGAATGAGTAAGAATTTTATGAGCACATGCTTTGGGAAGATAGGAATTTTGTCATGGATGTCATGTAGGAAGAAGGAGTTTTGGCTCATGACAGCTTTTGCCACCCCAGCGCTGTAGTGGGATGAGATATCCCAGCCAAAATTCTTCCTCCTGCACAACTGTTCTAGGCTCAGGAGCCCTGTCTGCCTTTTCACTCTGAACCACTCTGGTGTCACTGCAAATGTCTGGTAGTAATAATGAAAGATCATCTAATTGACTGTATAATCCCAAAACACAGCATACAGAATGCATCAATTACAAATCCTTTTCCCAAGTTGGGAGAGGGGGCAAAAATGGAGCAGACAAGGTTTGCAGCTTCAGGACCATCCTGGGTTTAGATCAGTGGTTCCCACAGGCTATGGGATTACTTAGGGCTAAGAGGCAAGGGGGCAGCAGGGGGCACTGGCGGTGTAAATGGCTATCAGACTTTGAAAAGCTGGTATCCCTGGATCAAGCTCATCAGTTTTGTTTAACAAATTACACTAGTTTCGGCTGGATAAATGTGCAATTCATTGTTCCTGTTTTGAATTTCACTGTGCTGTTTTCTTCCTTTGTAGATTGTGCAAACTTCTATTCTCAATAATGCTTTTTGTAGAGCAGGGCAGGGGGCTCTGGGGATGAGTGATGGAACCAGAGTGGTGGTGGCCCCAAATGATTTGGGGACCATTGGCTCAGATGGTAACGGTGGTGGTAGGAAGCATTTCTTTTTCTCCCAGACTGTTGTCCAGGCAGAAATCTTGGCGTGTATATCCTCCCCCCGCCCCCCCTCCACCACCACTTCTTCTATACAGCCAAACATCTCCACACGCCAATTTCCAGTTGGGAGTATGGTCATCAGCTCCACAGAAAATGCCTGTAAATGGAGAAATAACTCAGGAATAGTTTGCAGAGAGAGAAAGAGAGATGATACCTCTCATCGCTACAGAGTGGGGCAGGATAGCTTAGGCCCTCCTGTTTTGCAACTTCCAAAGAAATAATTTTTTATTTTATTCTCTAGCCTCACTTTCCTTCTTCTCCAGAATGTTCAGGGATGCACGTGTGAAATCCCAGAGACTCGAGGATTGGCAGAACAGCACCCAAGCCGCTGGGTAATGCAGCTGCCCTAACAATCAGGGTCTTGATGGACTGGATCTACTATTCTGACCCTGTGAAAAACAGTGGGGCTTGTATGTGAAGGGCTGGCTATTTCCTGGCTAGGGTTGCCAACTATTTCCCTGGCCCTTGCTCCCATGCCTTTAACAGCATTTGATCATCAGTTGTTCTTTTCTCCAGTCTTTTGCCCTTTCCAGTGTTCAGCCCTCTTCACATTCAGCAGATCTCACATCAGAAATGTCCAAGTCTTCTTTTCATCATGCTCTTATAATGTTGGAATAGAAGTATGCCAGCTTTGGAGTCATACATAAAATTTCATCAGGAAAAAAGTATTGAGCAGCTCAAAATAGCCCACATATTCTGCAGTATATATATTTTTTAAAAAAACTGTCTAGAAAAGAGGGTGTCTTGCTTTTGAAATCTCTCTGTTTAGAGGTATGTCTTTATCTTGGTGGGAAGTGTCAAAAGCAGTTGGCTCCAGAGAAAGGTTTACAGATCTGATGGTCCACAAGTCACCCCTTTTTTGGCCTTTGTGCACAGGCCCACACCCTGGGCTGCCTCCTTTCCAGAATAAGCGATGCCAGCAGATTCACTTCGTCTTTATGTAACAGTGAGGAGTGAATCTGACTTGGATGTCTGTCGGCTTCATCCTTCCTGACCTGTCTTTGCAGAGGATGCAAAGCAACAGCCACCTGCTCGCCTCTTCTCCCTTGGGCAGGGATGAAGCCTGTGCTACAGGGGCATCACTAGGTATGGCACAGATTTGCATGCTTTTGCATATCAATACTGATTGCTGTAGGGCTGTAGCTCAGAGGTAGAGCACCTACTTAGCATGCAGAATAGTTCCAGGTTCCCTTCCCATGGGCATCTCCAGGTAGGGCTAGGGCAGAACCTTGTCTGGAACCCTGGAGGGCCACTGCCAGCCTGTGCAGACAGTATGGAGCTAGATGCATCAAAGGCCTGACTCAGTATAAGACAGCTTCCCAGGTTCCTATAGCCTCACTTGGGGGGGGGGTCAGAAACATTGGGATTGCCGGGGGGGTTGTTTCTGGGGAGAGTATAACACACTATGTCAGGGCTGGTGAGCCTGATGCCTGAGGACCCAATGTGACACCACACCCCGATCTTTCTATTTGGCCCTTGAAACTCCTCCTAGGCCACATCCGCCCCCTCCCCTCCCCAGCCAAGCCCCTCCCCAGCACACACCTTTACCTGGCTTTTTTATTTGTCAAGACATCCAAACCAGACCAGGGTGTAAAAAAATGTGTTTGTGTCATAAGGACGTTCTTTCTTACTTTACCCCCTCCCACCATTTCTATCCTGCTTTATCTCCGCAGAGCTCAAGGTTCTCCCTTCCCCTGTTTGATGCTCTCAGCAACCCTGTGAGGTAGGTCAGGCTGAGCGGCTGTGACTGGCCCAAGTTCACCCAGGGAGCTTCACGGCCAAGTGGGGATTTGAACCCAGGTCTCCCAGGTCCTAGTCCGACACTCTAACCACTACACCACACTGGTTTTCACCCACCTGGATGCCCACGGGAAGCCCCACAGTGGTGCTCGCGTCACGTATTGAGTCCCAGCATCTGGTCTTCTGGGGCCTGAATGCCTGACAGAGAAAGGGGAGCAGAGCCAGCAAGGCTGGTAGCCATTGAGCATCCTAATTCAGTTTGTATCCCTTTCTTCTCTGCAGGAGAATTTGCACCCAAGGCAGCTTAAGAATAGAACAGTAACTAGGTAATAAGTAGTAACTCATAGCAAAAGAAATATCACTGGCATATCAAACAACCCATTTCAATAACTCTTTCAGTAACAGGTTAAACATGAAACAATAAACTAGACGCTGTAAAGATCTGCAGAAAAAGTGCAGAGGTTTAACAAAGTAAATTAAAATCATAGGAGCCTCTAAAAAATGGCAGCAGCGATGTCAAATCTGCAGATATGACAATGCTGGTATGCCTAAATACAACTCCATTAACCTCAAGCAACAAGAAAGCAGTATAAGTCATTCTCACATCTTCTTCTCAGATGTCCTGGCCATTGATGAGAACATCTGTATCTATAATGTAATTTATTTGGTGGCACTTCCAGTTACTACCGCATGACATGATCTGCAAGGTCAATGGTACACACACTTCAGTTTTGACCACGTTAGTTCATGGCTTTTGGAAGTTTTCTCCGCTAACCCCTGCATATTAACCTCAGAGCCGCACCTCATTTGACAACATGGAAATTGGTGTATCATTACACTTTCATTTCACTTACTACCATCTGACAGGGATTTGCTGCTGCTCCTGTCAGGAGTTTGGAGAGTGCCAGCAAAGAGCCAGGTGGCACCTGAAAGATTTAGAGATCTATGTCAGCTTCATAAAAACGTAAGAGCCCAGGTGACTCAGGCCAAAGGCCCCTCTCTAGTCCTGCACCCTGTTTTCAGAGTGGCCGGTCAGATGCCCATGATGAGAAGCCCACAACCAGGTCCATGAGGCTGTTGGAGGCAGCTGCCTCCAGGGGTGCCCGGGGGGCAGCAGATGTGGATCTGGGTCAGCAGCAGCAATGGCAGCAACACCTCAATGGGGCAGTGTCTTCATCCTCACATCCCTCCATCCAGGCAAGCGCTCATCTCACACACCCCACCGACTGACCTCTCTCTCGCCTTTGCTCCATGGCTTCCTGGCGGGGGACTTACTGGCCGGTGTCCTGCACGGCAGGGAGGGAGTCTGCCTGTCAGGAGGTGGCTGTACTTGCTCTTGCATGGGGTGCCGTGGGTTAGTGATTTGATAGAGGAAGGGAAAGGAAGACGCAGTGAAATGGAGATGAGAAATGTTGTGCTGAAGCAAGAGGGAAGAAATGGAGAAAGAAAATGGAGAGGGAAAGCCGAATGGAAAGAGGAGGCCTAAAATTGCAAGGTGCAGGGGGGGGGGATAGAAATAATGCAGGCATATGAACAAAAGCTAAATACCTTCAAGAAAGGGTCAGAGCAAGCCAGCGTGGCTATCTGAATTGGTGCATCAGAGGTGGGTGGACCAATGGCTGTGGAATACAAGAAGTGCATTCTACTCTAGGATGTTGAAATGCCACAATAAAGAGAGCTGCATCTTAAAACGTTAGCTCAGGGGTGGGGAATCTGTGGTCCTCTAGGGCTGTGGTTCCCAATCACCTAAGTATTGCAGACCTCTTGTTTTTCAAAAGCCAAGCCATGGACCCCCTGCTTTTGCAAATTTTGATATCTCTGTGGTAGATTTTGTTCTGACACCGCAGTCAGTTTTGCCAAGAGGCTTGGAAATTGCATTCACAAAACCATTAAACATAGTTAAATGTATTATATCAACTCTGGTTTTGTTCTTATTGATAAACCAGCTCCCACCCAGAGTTACAGCTTTTTAATGACAGGGTTTCTGTACCTTTGACAGCTTGATAGCAGGCAGAATTTGGAAGTCAAACTGCTGGAACCTCCCCATTTCAGAGACACAGTGACAAAATAAGCATCACCAGTTGAATTTGTGCCTCATCTGCATATGCTTCAGCCATAGGTGCTCACCAGGGGAAAAAATGGCATTCTTCTAGCCAGAAAGTTACCTAGAACATGTTACACAACTTTCTGTCACAGCTGATAAGTTGACTGAAAAAGTTAAATCCAGAATGGGCATTCTGAGAGATATCCACTTGTCTAGTGAGCCCCATTTATGTTTGTGGTGTCCAATTAACAATTGCTATTAAGAATGTTATATGTATTAACAATTTGTCACTGATGTGAATTGTGGATTAGTTCATGTGTGGTTTTTTTGAGGGGGGGAAGATTACTGTAATAGGTAAAATGTGAGGCTGAATTATAAATATATTAATGTTGACAATATACACATTTTTTATTTTTTGCTTTGTAATCTTGCAGGAAGAAAAATCATGCCTAAACATTCTGCTGCTGCACCCATAGCCTGGGTTTAAGGATACGTGCAGTGAAGAGCTCGTATGTCTGAGTTTCTAAGGCAGTGCAGGAGAGGGGGGTGTCCTTATCATGGTGCTAGGAAAGTTGCCTTGGTGGGACGAAAATTAATTGGTGTTTCATGGATGTTGATGGATGCAATATCTCATTCATTGCCCACGCAGGTGCCTTTGCATACTGTCAAGCGGGGGTGGGGGAAATGTGCAGCCTGAGGGCCACACTCCCTTCTGGACAGGCTTCCAAGGGCCACACGCCAGTGTAGTGGAGGCAAAAGCAGGTGCCACAACAAATATTAATTTTATCATTGTAGACAAAAACACTTGGGGTGTGAAGCAGGACCAGCGAAGGATGTGACCTAGGGAGGGGGGGTGTAGCCTGAGGGTCAGAGAAGGGGGCCTGGAGGGCTGCCTTGGGCCCTGGGCCTGAGCTTCCCCGCCCCCAAGGGTGCAGCATCCTGTGGCCCCCAGTGGCCAAGCCCAGGAGCAGGGGACAAAGAGCAAAGGGGTGCACCCAGCAAAGGATGTCACTGCACCCCCTTGCTTTGTCTTCAACTGCTTCAGCTGAAGACAAATTATCTTAAGTAAGAATGAAGGTCCTAGATGAAGCTTTCGATGGTCTGGTAAAAAGTGATAGGATTTTAGAAGCTTTGTGCCACATTTGCCAGAAACATAGATTGCGGAAATCCATGTGGCATTGGAGATACAGCAACATGAATGGAGACAAATTCCAGTCTCCTGAGCCATAATTCCACACACAAACCTCCCCCCCCCCGGCCTTGGCTATGAGATGCATTAGTACTGTGCAGTGATCTTTCCATTATAAGTCTGTGGTCTGTGACATCCCAGGGTCACGATTCCTTCCTGTCTGAAAGTCTGGATTGGTTTATAAGAACCAGGATGCTGTTCTTTTTTCTTTTCTTCATTGCTAAGTGCCACTTGCCTTTGCCGGAGGGCAGACCCACAGAGAACCGGCATCCCTGACTCTTCCTTTCCACCCGCCGCCTGGGAGATGCCTTTGGGAACAGATCGCCAAGTTCAAGTGCCGCTTAGGAGACGGCTCTGTGTGGGCAAGTGGTCTGGTTCCATGGTACCTGAGTGTTGACTGAGCGCACACCCACCAAATGCCCCAATTTTCAAAAGACAGTCCTAGAATCACAAAAGCCACCCAGGCTTCTGATTTGATCCTGAAACATCCCTCTTTCTTCCACCAGTGTCGCTGCCAAACGTAGGGAGGAGGAAGAGCTGCCGCTTGTCCCAAATGGTGGCAGTGGCAGCTGTGAGGGAGCTCCTGTTGCCTCTCCATGGCGGCGGCGGCTGCTGCTGCTGCTACTGGCCTCCTCCCTTGCGCAGCAGCTGCTGGGGAACAGGCAAGGAGGAGGAGAGGCTGCTGTAGCCCAGCCCCACAGGACACACTAGCTCTGGGGGGCAGGCAGAGGTCAGGGGTGCCGTGGGTGGGTGGGTGGGTGGGAAGAAAGGGGAAGTGGAGCGGAGCACAAGGAGTTTCGATTTTTTAAAAAAATGCTTTGTGTGTTCTCGTCTAATCTCGCCCCTTTCTAAAATTTATTTGTTGGTGTGTGTTTTACTTTCCGTAAATCTACCAAAGCCAGGGTTAAGGGGTTTTCTCAGAATGCTGGCGGGCGTGTGTCCCATTGGTGCAACCCAAATTCCCCCCTTCCTGCAGCTCATGGTGGAAGGTGGGGAGGGGTGTTGGGGGGCAGGATGATCAGGACCAGATCAGGCCTAAAATGGTTGGTGACCTTGGCTGAAACAATGACCTTTCAGAGACCCCGGGGAGTCAGAAGGGAGAAGGGCAATGCTAAATGACTCATGCTAACAACTTTTTAAGATAGCATCTCCTCAAAAGGCTTTTTTAAAAAGGGGGCGGGGACACAACTGTGAGCCAATGATTGCTCAGACAGGACTAGGATGCTTTAAAAAGGGCCTTTTGGAGCATACGTTCAAATTCTCCTCCAGTTATGGGATCCTGCCTCTTGGGTGATTTCCGTGGTTGGATGCCCATGAACAGCCACACTGTCTAACAGAAGCAGAGCTCTGGACAAGTATGCGGAGAGCTATCGGAAAGCAGATCTTGTGTATTGCATGGTCATGCCTTGTTAGTTATGGGTACAGCCAAGCGCAGGAAAATGATCACATCTTCCCCTGGAATATAGGATATGGGGGGGCCAGGGGGGACTAGGACAAAGAAACACCTCAAAGTGGAGGGCAAAAAAGCGCCATCAACCATGAGAATGGAAGATAAACTATATGGAGAGTGGGGAGCTTTTTTTATTCAGTGAGTGGGATTTGTGGAAGGCCAGGAGCATCTGTCCACTGGGTCATGGAGGCAGAAAATCACCTGGCAGGGAATCTGCCAGGATCATGGGATGTCCTGTGACTAAGAGAGAGTGGTGATCCGAAATAAGGCACATTGTCCCAAGCATGGTCTGGATCACCACAATACGCAGCGGCAAAGTACAAGAAGCAGTGATGGCCACCAACTTGGATGGCTTTAAAAATGGAATGTCAGAAGAACCTGCAGGATCAGGCCAATGACCCACCTAGTTCAAGGAGGACACGAGCCCAAGAGCAACCCCTGCCCCATTCTGAAGCATGGCTGCCTGCACTGGGGGAGGCAGAGCAGAGGCTTCCTGGCTAACAGCCTTTGATGGCCCTCTGATCACTACAAGTAATTTTACCATAGGGTGACATACCTGTTTTTTCTTATCCCCACAGTTAAAAAAGAACCTTTAAAAATATATATAACATAGGGTTACTTATTTTCATAGGCTCAAAAGAGATGCTGTTTCTTGATCAACTGCTTCACACACAGTTGCATAAGAAAATGAAAGTAGCTACAAGAGCAAGCTAAAGTCTTAAGTTCAGCTCATAATAACCAGGGACAGTGCAATCTAGCAATGCAGTCTTACTGGGTGACCATGGACCAGTCGCTCCTTCTCAGCTTAGCCTACTTTGCAGGCCTGTTGTGAGGATAAAGGGGCCCGGACCATCCTCTCTCCTTGGAGGGAGGGCAGGATAAACTCCTTATGGATTGGTTTTGATGTGCAGCCTGCCCTTTCCCACCAACTCAGAGTGGCCAATAGCAGCAGGTGTTGTCGTTTTAATGTAAGTAGTTCTGTCTCTAAGGGGCTCTCCAGAGATTTGGGCAGGGGGACATTCCCAGTCCTCCCCACAGATACCAGGGGCTGGCTCTGGACCCTTCTGCATGCTAAGCAGACACTCTGTTGCTGAACTATGGGCTTCCCAAAGTGCTGTCAGAGTGGAGGATGGCTTTGCGTTCGGTTTCCAGCTGTTGGGAAGCCTTGGCCAAAAATTGCTCTCAATTCTGAATGCAAATGCCACAAGAAAACGGAGCTAAGAGCTTGCAGCCAAAGAGCTGATAGCTTAGCTTGGATCAATATGTCCATTTCAGCCATGGTCACTTCCTGGCTCTCACCGTGTCCATGGGGCGGCCAGCTTGCAAAGGCTGCAGCAGCGGCAGCAGAAACCACAGCCAAGGGTGTCATAGAATCCTGACTGATCCGCACAGACCCTTCGTGCTCCACCCTGTGCTCTGCCCACTCTCCCTCTGTGAGCAGCAGACAGTAACTGCTGCTGGCTGCCTCTTGACCCCAGGCTACGGTTTCTTCAGCTCCCCATTTCTGCAAATCCACATCTCCTTCTGTCATCTGCTCCCTCCTTCAAAGGACACTGCCAGCTTTATTTATATATTTTTATAAAGGTATTTACAAGCAAGTTAATAGTAAAAAAATAAAATAAAATCTCTTAAGCAGTGTACAGTCTGAGAAAACGACAACGCAGTATATCATTGGAGCAAAAATGCAATGTAAAAACCAATAAAACAGCAATATGAAAACATGTAAAAGCAGAAAAGCAAACAAAACAGAGTGCCTATGCTTGCTTTGGAGGGGGAATTTTCCTTAGTTTCCCATGCTTGATGGTGACAATCCTGGCCCCGATGGACCAAGGATGTCTTTCGTTTTTCTCTTCTCCATCTTCAAGAGGCTCTTATTCTTCAAACATTTTTGTTCTGTCTCCATCAACCCATCCTTCATTTCCTCTTTCCATTTCTTTTTTGGAAGCTGCAATTATTGCCTTCCCCTCTGCCTTCTGTCCCTGAAGTGCTGGCTTTGACCTATAAAGCCTTAAACAGCTCAGGACCACAATACCTCAAGGACTGCATCTTTCCATATGAATCTACACAAACCCTGAGATCATCTTCTGAGGCCCTTCTTCGTGTGCCGCGTCCTCGAGAGGTCTGGAGGGTGGCAACACGAGAACAGGGCCTTCTCTGCAGTGGCTCCCCATCTGTCGAATGCTCTCCCCAGGGAAGTTTGCCTGGTTCTGTCATGATACACTTTTAAGCACCAGGCAAAAACATTCCTTTTTAACCAGGCCTTTGGTTGATCTGATTTACATCCTATGCCCTTTTAAAATATGTTTATTTTGGTTTCCAGCTGCACAGGTTAAAGTTAATGATAGATTAAGATTAAAGATCAAGATCAGAGATGTTTAAAGAAATGGAAATTTGATATTAAAAGGGAAAATTTTAATGTTATATGATATTAAGATCAAGGATTAGGTTTAAAAAGTTGAAGTTATATATTTTAACATTTTATTAAATTAAAGATTGGGATTAAAAAGTGGAAAAGAAACTGCTGGACAAATAATGTGGATTGGAATACAAAAGAGGGAGGTATGAGGAAGTCCAGAAAATAAGTAATTTAAAATTGGAAATGGAAAAGAGAGTTTGTTTTTAATTGTTATGCTTTTTGTTTTTTATGGTTGAGTTTTGTATTGTCTTTTGTGTGTGTTGTTCTTTTTCTTTTGTTGTTTAAAACTTTAATAAAAATTATTTTAAAAAAAATATGTTTATTTTGGGGGGGGTGCTATTGGGTTGTTGTTTTTATTTTTATTATGTTTTTGTGCTTTTATATTTTGATTTTATTCTGTGAATCGCCCTGAGATCCCTGGGTATAGGGCAGTATATAAATTCAAATAATAATAATAATAATGTCCCCCCCATCCCACCCCTTTATCTTGACTGACTCAGTGCTCTTAATGGGCTCATTTTGCATTCCACTCCATCTCGGGTCTTGGGGTGACTAGGAGCAGTTAAATTGGTCTGTGTCCTTTCAAGGGCTCACATTAAAAATAGATCCCATAAATTGGCCCAGGAGGAAAGGGAGAGACAAACAGAGGGGAGAAGGAATTAAATCCTGAATTCAGCACCAAGTGTCCCACACACACCAAGCGTCCCACAGTATGGCTTCATCCCCAACCTCCCAGTATTAAGTAGGAAGGTCTAAAGGGAGGTTCTCAATGTATGTATTCTGCTGAATGTGCAGGAACCCCAGTTACGCAAGTGTTCCCAATCATGGCAGGGAGACAAAGTGAATTTAGCTGAGTTGCCTTCCAGTCCTTCCCATGAAGGATCCAGATATGGCCTTTGGGGGCAGGGCTGGTGTTCGTGGCCCTGCTCCCTCTCTTTGCAAGCTGAATTTCAGAACACCTGAAGAGGGCTTGCAACCAAGCATGGGACCCCCAGGGGGGACTGCCTGTACCTGCACGACAGGTGTGTGTAGACAGGTGGGAATTCAGATGGGCACATGAGCAGAAATTGCACATTCGTGACATGCTTCAGGTGGAAATCAATCCAGGGAATAGAATTGGTATTTGCTGCTGTGTTTTCAGCATGACAATGCCACAGGATTAGGCCACTTCTTTATCCCCATTTCTTACATTTTACTGGGCTTTCATTGGTTCCCTTTCTGCTCTGGTGTTCTGTATTCATCCATCCATTCATCCATTTCCAGGACCAGCCCCATCCTTCGTCAGAGGGAGGCAGCAGTCTCCTTCCACCCCCTAAGCACCCTCTGCTCAGCTTCTCCCTCAGGGCACGGCAGAGAATATCATCCCTCACGGGTGTTGATGTGGGAGACTTCTCCCAATTGTATGGGATTCTCAGGGACTGCAACTTTTGCAGACAGCTCCACGGGCACATCTGCAAATCAGAGAAACTGTTGTGGGCACTAAACAAGCCTCAGCCCAACACACGCCATAGCCTGTTCCACGGGCTGGGGCAAACACACTTGGCTCAGGGGGGAGGGGACACAGGGAGGGAAGCCTGTGGGTGCCAGAGAAGGCGGGTGCCAGGCATGCCTGGTGCCAGGGAGGAGGGGCACCACTTGCCCTTCACCTAAAGCAGCAAAATACCCTGGGCTCCCATTCTATCTTGTATTTTCAATTGGTGGGTTGTTGTTTGTTCCAGTTTAAAGCTAAAGAGGGGGCTTTCCCTGGAAAGGAGTGAAGCAAGGGGGAAACAGGTCAAACCTAGAAAGTGCTGGTCAACCGGAAAGCCGCTTGGACACCCCTCCCCCCCATGCTTTCTAGTGTGAATGAACCTTGAAGCTGCTAACCTAACCAACATCTACTTACTCAGAAGTAAGCTGCATGGAATTTAATGGGACTTATTCCAAGTTTAGATTAGGTTAGGACTGCAGTCTTAGTAGGTAAGAATATAGGAATCTGCCTTATATTGAATCAGACCATTGTGTCCATCTAGCTCCATACTGTCCACACTGACTGGCAGTGGTTCTGTGTGGTTTCAGGCAGGAAGTCTCTCCCAGTCATACCCAGAGATGCTGGGGGATTGAACCTGGGACCTTCTGCACCCAAAGCAGGTGCTCTGCCACCCCATAGCTCACTCCTTGACCCACAATGTAAGCACAACCAAGTTAAAAGTTTTTCATACCCATATTCATCTGCATTTTATTTCGTGTAAAAACTAGCGGGTTCCATAGTGCCAAGCTTAAAGGCTGAAAAGTACACATCTAGCTTTCTTTTGCTTTTGTAAATTATAATCCCTCTAAAGAGGCCTTGTAAGATCTGCTTGCAACGGCTCAGGATGATCTGGTTAGCAGCTTGTGTTTGGCACAATTGGTAAACCCTCTACTTTGAAAGAGCAGAGCTATTCTATTAAATGTTATATTTACAAGAGAGAGTTGGAGTAGCAGGGTGCATGGGTGTAGCCAAGAGGGGGCTAGAGGGCAGCTTCCCCCCCCCAAAAAAACCAGGGAAATAAATAAAAATGCTTAACCAGCTGACCAATTGTGTTGCAGGTAGCTCAGTTCTGCCCACCCCCTCAGTCCTGGCTATGCCTATGGCAGAGCGGCTAAGAGACTGAACTCGAAAGCAAAAAGGATCTGGTTCAAACCTCATCCCTGCCATAAACTCACCCCGTCAGTGGTCTCATCTGCCATGTGGACAGAGTGTGATGGTCGCTCCTCTCCCCCAGGGCTGCTCCTCACTCCACTCCTGCGCGCGCGCGCACACACACACACACACACACACACACACAGACTTTTCTTTTCCCTGCACTTTGGGTGAAAGGAGGGCTGCAGCAGAATTAAAGCAGATCCTCTTGGCTTGTAATTCAGAGGCAAACTGTCTCTCAGTGGAGCAACGCAGCTGGCGTGGGGCAACTGAGCTCCAATATCACAAGAAAACCAAGAGAGAAAGAGAAACCACAAGGAACGGAGGAGGCTCCCTGGGGAGGAAAGGCGGCAGTGTCTCAGGCTTTTTGGTTTGCTGAAAATGTGAGTGACACAATAGAAGTGTGGAAAATTATGTGTGGAAAAAGTGTACAGAGAAGAGCCCCCCCCCAAACAACAACAACATGGGGACACCCAATGAAGGTGATTGCTGGAAGGTTCAGGACAGATAATAGAAAATACTTCTTCACACAGAGCATAGTTAGTCTATGGAACTCACTGCCACAGGAGGCAGTGATGGCCACCAATGTGGATGGCTTTAAAAGAGGACTAGACAAATTCACGGAGGACGAGAGGGCTATTGATGGGTAGGAGCCAGGATGGCTCTGTTCTTCCTTCACAGTTGGAGGAAGCAATGCTTCTGGATAGCAGTTTCAGAAAACCACAGGAGGAGGGGAAGAGCACTTGCTGGTTTCCCACAAGCATCTGGTCAGCCACTGTGAGAACAGGATGCTGGCCTTGATGGGCCCCTGGCCTCCTCCCCAGGCTGGCTGCACCTGCTGGCATGAGCCAGACCAGGCGCCTCTTCTGCAGCCTGAGCTGGCAGTGCAGAAGGACAAGGACACTGGTCTCCAGTTTCAGCCTGAACTGAGGGGGGGGGGCGGAGGGAATGCCAGTGTGTACTTCACTGCATGTTTGAAAGGATCCAAATCTGTCGATTCAGCAGCTCCATCGCTTATCTGATGAGCCCAGGGATGCAACAGGGACCAACCAAGAGATATTTGTTTTGCAGCACAGCCAATGCCAGAGAGAGAGAGAGAGAGAGAGAGAGAGAGAGAGAGAGAGAATGAATGCTATTGCTGGTGGAAAATTGCCAAGAAAGCCAACTGGGAGTTGAAAGGAATTGTGAGGAGGCGGGGGGGCAGGTGGGGGGGTAAGTGTTTAACCCACCCAGCGAGAGGGAGGGGGAGAGATAGATAGATGATAGATAGATAGATATTGATAGATAGATGATAGATAGATAGATATAGATAGATAGATAGATAGATAGATAGATAGATAGATAGATAGATAGATAGATGATAGATAGATAGATAGATAGATAGATAGATAGATAGATAGATAGATAGATGATAGATAGATAGATAGATAGATAGATAGATAGATGATAGATAGATAGATAGATGATAGATAGGTAGATGATAGATAATAAATGTGACAAAAGGCTGTGACCTCAATTTTATTTTGTGCTGATTTTTCTCCCTCCGTTTTGAAGGGAAGGAGGGAGGGGGGATTGTAGCAGACAGTGGCAAGGGAAGGAGAGCGATTTCTCAGCTGCTGGTAAAGAATCAGCCTGCTCCTTTTGCTCGCAGAGACCCCATGGCCAGCAAGAGCTCGTGCATGCAAGCATGTGGCAGCCAGAATGAACAACCTCCCAAGCAAGTTTCTGATTTGCACTTTTGTCATTTCCCTCCTTCCCTCTTGGCTTTCTTCCCCACCCCCACCCCTTTTTTCTTTTCTTTAAAAAAAATTCCTTTCTCCCAGAGGAATGCAGGAAGCTGCCTTGGACTGAGCCAATCTGCTTGTCCACCTAGGCCAGGTGACACAGCCAGCCAGCCAGCCAGCCAGCCAGCCAACCCTCCCTGGAGATGCTGGGGGGTTGGACCCTGCATTCAAAGCAGCAGCTCTCCCCACACCCCACAAGGCTGTGTTTCTTCCATGGATGATTCATCCCACTTTGAAAGCTTTCCTCATGGATTTGCGCTTACTCTGCTCAGTTTGGCTTCTGATGGGAGAGGGCTCTGGCACGTGAATCCTGCTTGTGAGATTCCCCTGGAGGCATCTGGGTGGCTACAGGGAGAAGAGGGTGCTGGTCTAGCTTGGCCATTGGCCTGATCCAGCAGGCTCTTTTCATGTTCTTTGGTTGCAGCTTGGGGCGTGGGGGGGGCACTGTGAGAAGAGGCTGCTGGAGTCCATGTGTGCCTGGAGAAGCCTGAGCGTTGGCCTCTGCTGGCTAGCAAAGAGGACCTGGCTCTCTAAAGATGGATGGCAGAGCAGTGGACATGTCTGAGGCAGGTGAGCATTAATTGTCTTCTTGACCCGGGGAATTGAATAAATGCTAATAAATGCCACAAAGGCCGCCATCCTCTCTTTAGCACTAGCAGGAAGTCTGGAGTGCCATCCATCACTGACAGGGGCGGGGGGGGGCATAAATTGTATCTTTAGCCAACTGGCCGACACAGGAAGGATGGGGAGAAAACAAGAGCACAACTTTCACCTCTTTTGCGCAGGCGACAAATTAATTCTCTTTGGGTCACTCAGGGACAGCCCTCTGGGAAGAGGCTGCTTGCATCCTCCACTCAGCTGACACTTCAAGAAGCTTCTCTTCCTCCCTCCAGCGTCCGAGGCAGCCTGCTTCTCCATGCAAGTTGCTGGGCAGTGTGCCCTTGTGCATTTTGGGCATCACAATATGCATTTTCTGGGCAATGGTGAGAACCAGATGCTGGCTAGATGGTCCCTTGGGCTGATCCTATAGCCAGGCTCTGCTTTTGTTCTTTCCCATCTACACCCTAAACCTCATGGAGGCAGCTCTTCAAAGGCGCCCAGTCTGTTCACTTGCGTTTTGTTCATTTCACTTTAAATACTGTGTTTATATCCTGCTTCCTTAAAACTAAATAAATAAACCAAGCACAACCACTTGAAGCAACGTCTGGTGAAAATAGTGGCAAAAATAAAAGCAACAATTGGGTAGCTGCAAATGGGTAGTTAAAATGACAATATTAATACATTAACTGTGTAACAGTATTAATGAGCAGCAGTTCAAAATGAAAAAGAAAATGACAGCAAGAGTATTGCAAGTTTAAAACTGCAGATCATACTTCAAAAGCTGACAGGAGAGATTTCTATAATCTATATTAATTGGCTCATCTGGAAGAGAATGCCATGATCTGGCCACCACTACGGAAAAAGCTATATCTTTCGAACCCATCGCCTTTATGGTCAAACCAGCTCTTTTGCCAGACAGTTGCCTATTGACTCTCTTCTGCCCGCCCCCCGCTGTTTCTGCCTCTTTCCCAATGCCCCCCAGGCAACTCCGGTTGCCCTGGTGGTTCTGGCTTTCTCTGAGAAGGCCTCCCCTCCCTCTCATCTCTCGATCACAGCAATGTCTGGGTCAGGTTCCTTCCCACCCTTTAGAAACAGGCAAATTTCTGCTCTCATGCTGAGGCCACCCATCTCAAGGTTTCCCAATAACAAAATACAGCAGTGCCATCTTATGCACGACTACTCAGAAGTAAGCTGCATTGAGCTTAATAGGACTTATTCCCTGGCAAGTGAGTACAGTGGTGCCTCGCAAGACGAAATTAATCCGTTCCGCGAGTCTCTTAGTCTTGCGGTTTTTTCGTCTTGCGAAGCACGGCTATTAGCGGCTTAGCGGCTATTAGCAGCTTAGCGGCTATTAACGGCTTAGCGGCTTAGCGGCTATTAACAGCTTAGCGGCTTTAAGAAAAAGGAAACAAACTCGCAAGAACTCGCAAGACATTTCGTCTTGCGAAGCAAGCCCATAGGGAAATTCGTCTTGCGGAACGACTCAAAAAACGGAAAACTCTTTCGTCTAGCGAGTTTTTCGTCTTGCGAGGCATTCGTCTTGCGGGGCACCACTGTATAGAAGTTCAGCCTGAATGTTTGAGATCCCCATGCTGCAATAACCCAGTATCTGGCCAGAAGTTATAAATATTCCTTTGTACTTCTGGGCATTGTAAATTTGCGTTTTCAAGACATTTGGCCACATTTGCAAGAGATATTTGCAAAAGAGGTCTCTTTTCTTTCCTCCCCGATCCTCTCTGTATTTTGCACTACCAATCACCCTGCCTGATTTTCCTCCTCAGTTTCCCTGGTGGCTTCAGATAAAAGGCCAGATCCAGGAATGTGTATGGCAGAATCCTAGGGCGAGAGAGAGGACAGGACCACTTCAGACAGCAAGTGATGGGCCACATTTAAAAAAATAAATAAAAAATCCCCTTGATTGTTGGCAGAGGGAAATGCACAGCAGATTGAAAGCTAGTAAATTATTATTATTATTATTATTATTATTAAATTTTGTATACCACCCTTCATCCATAAATCTCAGGGCAGTTCACAGCATAAAATTACAATATAAAAAACACAAAATACATAATAAAAATGTATTTAAGATAAAAACAAAAACAAACCAATAATGGGGGAAAAGAAAGCCCAGTACAGTCCTTATCCTGCTGTGCTACTTTTCTGCTTGTGGGGCTCTTTTTCATGGTTTTCAAGGTTAGATGGCCATCTGTCAGGGATTCTTTAGTTGTGATTCCTGCATTGCAGGGGTTGGACTAGATGACCCTTGAGTTCCAACCCTACAGTTCTATTAATATAGATATAAGGTTCCTAGGTCCATTCTCCAGCTGAAGAGCATGGATGGCACGTGGGCTGCCATATCTTGAAGTGCTAAAAAGAGGACAGTCCAAGTCACTGCCAGCCCAAGCCGGGGAAAGAGGTGCTGGGGAGCGCTGAGCTGCCTGAGCCCAAGCCCCCCCCCCAACCCCCAAATCCAGACATTTCCTTTAAAATGTAAAAATCTGCCCAACTGGGCATGTTGGCCCTCCCAAAGGTGCCATGTCTGGGTTTTCCTGGCAACCCTAACAGATGTGAAATCTGTGGACCCACAGCATGAATGGGAAACTGGTGGCCCCCCTGATTTGTTCACTTACATTGTATGTTTTTAAATCTCTATCTCACCTTTTGTCCAAGGAGCCCCTTGGCTCTCCCCCTCCCCATTTTATTCTTGCAGCAGCCCTGTGAGGTAGGCTGGGCTCTGATTGTCTCAAGGTCACTCAGTGAGTTTTATGGCTCCAGCCCTGTAACCCTTACACCACACTGTCAGTGCTGTTGGATGGTGACTCCTCACCATCCCTGGAGCTGGAGCTGATGAGAGCTGCAGTAGAAAGCATTTGGGAGGCACCAGGTTGAAGAACATTGAATTAGAAGGCGGCTTCTTCCCATTCTAGCAAAGGGAGTATTAATTGCTTGACTTTGGCCATTTACACTATACAGTGGAACCTCGGGTTACGTACTGTCCTCCTACGAACGCTTCGGGTAACGAGCTCCGCTAACCCAGAAATAGATGCTCCTGGTAGCGAACTTTGCCCCGGGATGCGACAACAGCTCCCAGAAATCTACCGGGGGGGGGGGCATTGTGAAGTAGTGTCATCTTTAGCACAGGTGAGGCTTTTGCTTGTGTGCTGCTTGAATTTCAAGGGAAAGACGGTCATTTAGAAGGTCCTGTGTTTAATCTTCCATGGAAGGATGTTGATCTCTAACCTGAAACTGGACTAAACCAGACCCTCCAGGTGTACCTATTTCCCAGGGATGTGCCAGATTTATAGAAGCCGTCCTGGTATCTTATTTGATCCTGGAATGTCCTGCTCTTCCTTAGGATGTCCCTATTTTCATCACAGAAATGTTGGAGGGTATGGAGTTATCTGACCCCTGAGCCATCTAAAGGCAGCCCTGTATAGGGTTTGTTTGTTTTAAAAAAGTTCAGTCTTTTATTATGTTTTTTATATATGTTAGGGCAACACAGTCAGATGAGCGGGGTATAAATAGTAAAATGATGATGATGGAATAGGATGTCCCTATTTTTATTGGAGAATTGTTGGAGGGTATGCTAAACTGAAAATGAGAACAGAGCATCAAAAAGTGCCAACCTTTGCCCTCAGCTCGAGGCACCACGAACATGCCAGGATTAAACCTCTTGCATAGCCACAGAGGAATAAAAGGATCTGTTTCGACTTTGGATAAGGAATGAGAGGGCAACTAACAGGCTTCACACAACACATGGCATTGGGGGGGGGAGGGGGGCCTGGCCTCATGAGCTTGTGGGACGCTCCCCCCAGGGAAGCTCACCTGGCACCTTTGTTACACATCTTTAGGCTCCAGGTGAAAATCTTCCTCTTCTCCTAGGCCTTTGGCCAATTAAATAATCTGTGGACTTTTAAACTGGGGGTGGGAATTGTTTTTATGTGTAATTACGGTACGTCTTTTTGTGGTTTTATATTCTAAACCGCCCTGTGATCTTGGGATGAAGGACAGTATAAAGGTAAAGGTACCCCCCCCCCGACCATTAGGTCCAGTCACAAACGACTCTGGGGTTGCACGCTCATCTCTCTCTATAGGCTGAGGGAGCTGGCGTTTGTCCGCAGACAGCTTCTGGGTCATGTGGCCAGCATGACTAAGCCGCTTCTGGCAAGCCAGAGCAGCACACGGAAACGCCGTTTACCTTTCCACCAGAGTGGTACCTCTTTATCTACTTGCACTTTGACATGCTTTCGAACTGCTAGGTGTGCAGGAGCTGGGACTGAACAACGGGAGCTCACCCAGTCGCGGGGATTCGAACTGCCAACCTTCTGATCGGCAAGTCCTAGGCTCTGTGGTTTAGACCACAGCATTACCCGCATCCCGATAAAAATTTTATAAATAAAATAAACAATAAAAATAAATTATCTCAGTCAGTGCCTGCTAAGCTTTGCCCTTCTAGAGATTGCTGAATGAAAACTGCCATCCTCCCTGGCCATGTTGGCTTGGACTAGTGGGAGTCTGGCAACATCCAGGGGGCCATCAGTTCCAGCCCCCACCTCCTGAGCTGATGTTACTGGCTCTGCTCTAGAGCAATGGCCTTTCTCCGCTGGAAGGCTACTGGATGCGTCCTTTGCTAAGTAGCATGTGAGCTGCAGCAGTAACAGCTCCCCAGGGAGATGCTTCAAAAACAGAACACCTGCAGCTCAAGTCCCTTCTCTGCCAATGGCAGGAAGAAGCGAACGCCGGGCAGCCCAGGCGGGCTCTTGAGGCCAGCATCTGCCTCCTCCCATCTCTCGGTTCCCGGGCTGCCTGCTGTCGCTTGGGAGACTCAAGTCACGTGAGGGAAGCAGTCAGGTTTGGCTGCTGTGACTTGCTCTGGTTTAAATTAAATGTCGGCACTTTCCTGTGATTACTTTTTATTGTCATGCAGTCCAATGTGAATTCTCCCTTCATCATTATCATTGCTGACATTATATTTTTATTTATTTATTTCTGTTGTCATCACTCAGAGTCTAGTTCTTCAGGAAAAGCAAGTGAAACAGAGCGGAGCTTGTGGGATTTAGCCAAGTGGGGTGTCTGCTTATGCTTTGCTGGGAAAGAGGGCAGAGGAGGACGCTGTTTTGCATGCAATTTGCATGCGCTAATGTTTATGTCTGGATGCAAATTTAGAAATAATAGCTGTGATTTAAGTGGGGGAAACTGTGACCCGTGTGCCACCTGAGTGTTGCCAGGGGCTCACTCTTGATGGCCCCCTGGCTCTCCCTTCTTTATCTTTAAACCTTAGGTCTTTCTTTAACTGGATTTGGACCCAGCTGCCCTTCCAGTAGAGAATGGACTCCCCCCGCTCACTGCCCCCATTTAAATACAGTGGACCCATCGCATGGTGCGCCTGTTAAACAAATTTCTACCATTTACCACAGGCTACCTTGTGGGGGTCTTGTGCGAGGGAAACTTTGATTCAGGGAGTCTCAGGCAAGAGCTGATCAGACGTGTCGTTCTTCTCCAGAGCGCTGGCAGCAATGGACCAGGCTGTGCATTGGAAATCTTTGGTCTCTAACTAGCTCATGGAGTATGCAGGCATCGGATTCAGTAATTAACAATCACTACAATTTTCCACATCACACTTTAAAAAAAGAAAGGCAGCAAAGATCTGGAAGAAGGGTAACCCCAATTCTGAGTGAAGAGCAAAAGGGTTGTACATTCAGTGCAAACCAAGCACTCTTTGTTCACATAATTCACTATGAGAAATTATTCTAGGAGTGTTTCTTCCCCATTCACTACAGTGTGGAAGCTAAAAATGGCTATAACTTCCTCCTTCCTTTTAACATAACTGGATGAAATCTGCTGGCGTATCAGACCCTTCCAAGTGGATTCCCTGAAAATGTCTGTTGGCCTGCGGAATGCTGGTCCGAGCAATACAGGTTTGCAGGCCCCTGCAGAGCTTGTCAGAGACCCAGGGCGGGAGCCTTCTTGGAATAATGTTATAAACTCAAGTAAAACAGCAGCTGGTCCCTGGCGGGGGCCCCCATACCAACTTAGCCCTCTGAGGCCTGGGGCAAGTGTACCCACCTGCCCCCCCCCCCGCATGGGCCTGCTGGCTTGACATTGGTGGTGGAGAACTTCTGGCCCAGAAAACGGCTCCAATTGTAGCCCAACTGAGCATAATGAGCTGAGCAAATTCCTGTACAAACCAGGTCATCGTGAATTTTGAATACTTGAGCTCCTAACGTCCCACTGAGAGGGAGATATGGGTGTGACCAGATCTATATTCCTGTCTTTTGCTTCCATCCAGATGGTTCCCTAGCAGTTATAATGAGACCAGCTTCTCACTGGAAAAGTGGGAGGAGAAGGAAACAGGCTGGAGAAGAATGGTCTGAAGGGGAGAAAATGACTGGTTCCTTTGGGTTAGCAAAGGCAGCACATGCACCCCCAAAACAGCACCTTCAAGACCCAGAGTAGAGGTAGCCCATGTTGTGATGTTCAGATATTGTTGGACTACAATGCCCATCATCCCTTACTGTTGGCCTTGCTGGCTGGGAAGGAAGCTGTAGTTCAACAGCATCTGGGCGGCCCCATGCTGGAGCCCACAGGACCACCTCTTGGCTGAAGATGATCATGTCTGACTTGGGACATTGCCTGCATGGGAGACCTCTGGGGAACTGCAAGCCAGACACCTTGGCTTCTGTGTGTGTGTGAAGGCTCACAGCTCGATTCCCTCTTTCCCTCTTTATTCATTTTGTCTTGGGCATTCTATATGCCACCCAATTAGCCATGTCCTCTGGGCGGTTCACTGCTGTGAAAACAATGGGATGCTGCTCCTCTCCAAAGCGAGGCAACGTCAGCGTCACAACACAGTGCTTAGGACAAACAAAGGCAGAGAACAGTTGGCATTTTTATCTAATCCATTTTATTGTTGAATGAAACAATAACGGCAAATATGGACAAAGCCATAAATAATGTAAACTCAAACAAGCGAGAGACACAGAGGAGAAGGGGAGAAAATATTTGTATGGAAGTAAAACCAGCCTGGAGGCAGGGAGGCTGCAAGAATGATCATAGCCAGAGCTCCCCCCCCCAACACTCTCTCTCCCTTCCTCCCACCCTCCCTCTCATTTCATCCTTTCTCTCTGCATTTCCCTGGGGCCATACTTTTTTGTTATTAGGTCCATCTTGACAAAAACCCGGGGAGTGACAGGAATCTGGCTTTTCAGGGAGAAATCTCTGCAAGAAGAGACAGGTGGGGAAGAGAAGCGTCTGCTGCTCCTTTCTGTATCGTCAGCTGCAGCAGTGTCACCTTCAGAAGCCGGGTTCCGTATCACAGCCTTTCCCCCACTGCCCCAAAGCAAAGCGATGGTGCAGCCAGTGGGGGCCTTGAATGGCTGCAGAGGGAGGGGTGAGCATGCTCTAGCAACCAACCAGGTCTCCTTTGGCTCCAGCAAAAGAAAATGCAGGTATTGCAGAGCAGAGAGACACCCGGCTGCTGTGCTTGGCAGAACGGCGCACTGTTGCCATGCTCCAGCTGTTCTGGTTTTATCTGTTTTCCAATGCCTGTCCCTGGTGAATAGCAATCCCTCATTTTGGGCAGCAGAACGAGTAGGCAAGGATATAAGAAAGGCTTTGTTCGACTGATCCGAAGGTCCATCTTGTTTCCACCATGGCTGATCACGTGCTGAAATGGGCATAACTGCAGTAGCCCTCACATGTCCATAGTCCTCAGAAACTGGTATTCAGAGACATACTGCACCGGATACTGGAGAAAATGCCTAGCCAATATGACTAGTAGTAATTGATAACTTATCCTCAATAAGGTGTCCTAATCTCTTTTTAATGCCATCCAGGTTGATGGCCATTGCTGCATCTTGTGGCAGGGAGTGCCACAGTTTGCCAGTGGGCCGTATCCATACTCAGGGGTGAATAGCAAGGCACAGAAAGATGTTTGAAAATTGGCCTATGCTCAGTGAGTTGAGCTGGTCAGACTGAACATTAGGGCATGCAGGAACTTTCATGACAGTTTTCAGAGATTGCTGGACTGCTTTGCCTTACCCTGCGAATGCCCACTTGGCCACCTCAGTCAGCGCAACTGGCACTTCTACAAATGCCACATGATGTTCATTCTCCACTTTTATTAGTGGCAGTCCAACTCTCTGGAACTCCCTGCCCATTGACATTAGGCAGCCGCCATCAGTACTTTTTTCTGCTCTTGCTAAAAGCTTCTACCCAGACATTATGGTTATTTTAGTTTATAATGTATTTAATTTGTTGGCTTTATTTTTATTAAAGCTTGTTTTTAACTGACATTTATTGACAACATTAGCGTATATTTTACGCTATTTGCAAACTGATTAGAGGTTTTATTTACAATTAAACAATATATGAACCCTGTTAAAATAAAGAAGCAAAGCAAGATAGCCACAAATTGGCAAAGATATCCCTTGCTTTTGCATGTTCTTCTTGCAAATATGTGAAAACACCAAAGAGGCTTGTGGCTGCTTTGAAGAGATGCACAGAAAGCTCAAAGGTGGCGGTAACTGGCAGCAGGAGTGTCAGGAACATGGCCCTCCAGGACCCAGCAGAAGGGTGAGCCTCAGAAAGTGAACAAGAGGCAGAAGGGTTAACTTCAGAGCTAGCAGGTCATAGGCTGAAGGTTCTGATGAGGGAGAAGGAGTGGTTTCCAAACTGACACCCACAGCCCTCCCTTCACACTCCTAGCTCAGATGAAGAGGCAGGGCTGGAAGAGGCCAAGGAGAGGCCAGGCTGCCAACAGATAAGAGAGAGACTCTGTCCACTGCCAGTGGAGAAGAGCCGATGGCGAGGTTCTGGCGTAGATCCTGTTGGAAGCGGAACTCGGATTCAGATTAGAGCATCTATTGTTGCTGAGAGGAGTGTGAAGCCCCGCTCGGGATGTTTGTTTCTATAATAAAAACTATCTTGAACTGACAGGAGTCTAGTTACAGGTAGGTAGCTGTGTTGGTCTGCCGTAGCCGAAACAAAATAAAAAAAGTTTCTTCCAGTGGCACCTTAGAGACCAACTAAGTTTGTTATTGGTATGAGCTTTCATGTGCATGCACACGAAAGCTCATACCAATAACAAACTTGGTTGTTCTCTAAGGTGCTACCGGAATGAATTTTTTAAATTTTGTTTTGACAGGAGTCTGCTTACTGCCAGGAAGCTGGCTAGTTACCAGGGATTGTTACTGTATAAGGAGTGAGTCCAACTCACTATCACACAGATAGACAAGCCAGCTGACCTGCCTTGAGCTGAGCACAAAACACACATTTGCATAGGCAAGTTTGGGAAAGGAAGCTTCACCTTGAACCTTATTCCTAGGTCTGCACTCAATTCAAAATGGGGCCCATTATTGGAGCAAGGGAAATCTCAAAGCAGTTTGCAACAAATCCAGAATAAAACATTACTGAAGGAAGTAAAATATAAAATATATCTTCAAAACAACCTAATGAACATGAAACAGAAAGTCAAATATATTTAAAACAGCATAGTTAACAAGGGAATAAGATGATATCATGACCATGGAACCGATCTGCTGCTGTTGCTTCCGATCCTGCCAAGGGCGGTTCATGGCAGGAGATGGCTGTGGAAGCTCAGGCTCAGTGACCTGGGTCTGCACTAAGAGGCAGACCAGATGGCCTCTGGCTTCTTCAGAAGCCTCTGCTTGCAACCCAGTAACAGTTTTGACCCATAACCTGTGGTTTGGTGGTAGGCCATGTCAGCATCGCCCTTGAGCCAGTGCCACCAACTGGACTCATCCACTTCAGCCCCGACTGGGCTAGGCGAGCTGGGTAGCACTTCCAGAGACCACCTTCTGCACAGGAACAGGTCAAAGTGCTGTGAACTCACAGCTTAGAGATGTGAGCACCGGATTCACTCCAACAAGAAGACAGTCGTCGCACAGCAGAGTACAGCAGAGTCTAGCAGAGTATATAAACAACTCGAAGAGCAGCTCTGTAGAATATCTTCTTTATTCTATAACTACAACTATACAAACTATATACAGAGCTTAATAGGTCTAAGCATAAATAAATGCTGCACTGCACTGAGTGTCTGCAGCTGCTCTTAGCAACAACCTTATCTCTACACACGATCTCTAACACTCAGTCTCTCTCTCTCTCTCCGACACTGACTGACTCGGTGCTGGAGCAGAATAAGTAGAGAGCAGAACACGCCTCCTCCTCTCTGGAGAATCAGCAGACTCCTCAGGAGATTCTTGGATATGGGAGGGGTGAAATCTCCTCAGGCCAGGCCTTTGACAGAGCGCAGCTTGTCTCACTCTCTGTGCATCCACCAGGCATTGCTGGGATATCCACATAGATGGAACAAGGATTGTTTTGATTGAGCATCACCCATCTGAAACATTCGCCTCATTCACGTGACGTAGAGCATTCTGAATGAAAAACTGAAGGATCGTCCTCTGACAGGTTTATCTCTGTATTGCTCAGCTGTGCTCACACCCTATGTATCCAACTATCCTTAGCTTGGAAGTAATACACTTGTGTAAATCTGCAACTTCCCTGTTGTCACACAAAGATTATGACCTGCATGTGTTTGTGTGAGTGCACACATACACATTGCCAAGCAGAGGCAGCTCCAGAAAAACTAGTTTGAAGTAGTGAAGACCAATATTCCTGCATCGAGCAGGGAGTTGGAACTGATAGCATAGAAATTCAAATCTATGATTCTGACTGTTAAGGATTCAATCTGTATCAGACTTTAATAAGCTGTCAATCAGGCATGGAGGAGAAAACCGGTTGGTTCACTTTTTGCAGCGGACTGATCTCATTCGCTGGTCCTGAACTTGCAGATGGATCAGAAGACATTATCAGTCCAGTTACTAATCAGATCAATGACCTATTGAAACCCTTTTGGTATGCAGAGTGAGCAGCTTTTCAGCTAGCAGAGCTGTCTTGTTGCAAGCTCACACAAAGAGATGCTTGTAGGTAAGAAAAGCACAAAGTGGTTTCTTGCAGGAGATGCATGGCTTGGACAGAATCAGAGTCACAGAATTGTAGAGTTGGGAGGGACCCCAAAGGTCAGAGAAGAATACGGCAGCCATGCTTGCACCTTTATTCTCTCTGAGGATAGTTAAATGCGACTTGCCACCTTGAGGCTTGAGAAGGAAGTGGGAGGAGGAGGAGCAAAAACATGATGCAGCCTGAGAGTATCAGTATAAACAATGTGGAGATAAAGAGGTCAGCTTGAGAGGTTAAAGATACAGGGATAGTATGGGAAACTGGAGGTCCCTAATCTCTGGGTTAACCCCATGCAAACCCCTCTTCTTTAAACGGAGTTGCACCCAAACATGCAACAGTTACATATGTCTCCTGATTTTGTGATGCAGAGTTGGCCCTCTGAAAGTGTGCACAAAATATGTATTTTATGTAAAAGAAATTACCTTATAAAGATGTACAAACTGCATACATTAGGGTGAAATGCATTGAAAAGCATACCCCCACAAATGCATGTTTTAGGTTATGTTTGCATATAAAATGTATACAACTTCCAAAAAAATTTCTGGGGGGATGATGCATTCACTTGAAAAGCAGAATAAAGTGGATGTAGCATTCAGCAAAAAAAATAAAATAAATGGGAAAGGGTGGAAATGAGCAACATGATCCATCTGTAACCGCAAATTGGAAAGTTGGGGAGTTAATGCGGGAACAGGATATTTTGGGCTATCACCTTTGGGAGCTATCACTGTTAGCCTTCTTCTCTGTTGGCCTTGATCAGTGGACATTCATTTGCCAATAGCCTCTCCTGAAGCAGCTTGGGAAGGGCTGCTGCCCATGGGGTGGTAGGGGGAAAGCAGGGAGAGCAGCAGGAGGTGGGAGGGGCTGGCTCCGTCCAGACTGAGGTGGGGGGGTGCTGCCCCATTTGCCCCAATGGACCAGCACCACTGGGTAGGGTAACCTTCAGTGTTTCCTCTTTAAGGAACACAGGGTGTTTCTTGCATGGTTTAATCTCACAGTGGGCCTGTCTCTGCTTCTTCTGGAATGGCTGCAAGGTATGGGGCAAGAGCCCTTACCTGGAGAAGCAGGTGGGAGTTGATGGTGGCAATACTGAGCTGCAAGCAGCAGGAGCCTCAGGGCCTGTGGCTGCGGGATGCTTCTGGGAGTTGATATCAAATACTTAGATACACCAGTGATTTTTCAGTTCTGCTTCTACGAAGAGAGGTGGGCAGAAAAGGCTCAATGGAGCCTCTCAGTGGCAGGAAATGTATGGCTGTGGCTCTGGGACACACAAGACTGCTGCAAATAGGGGCCTGTCATGGTCTCCTTTGTCACCATCATGCAGTGGCAATGATTTTCCTGGTTCCAAATTGCTGCCTAACCATCTTTGTTTCTCTGTATTGTGTTGTGTTTAAGTCCCCCAGAGCCCCAGATTTGGACTAGGAATGCAACCTAACAGGCTCAGAATCAAAGAGACTATTCTTAAGGAGCTTACAGTCTTAGGTTTATTGGAAACAGGTGGCTAGTTATGTCCAGATTGTTGTGGGTATGTTGGAGGGGGGCAAGAAGAGAAAATTGCCATCTGCCCTGAGTGCTCACTGGAAGGACAGATCCTGAAGCTGAGGCTCCAATACTTTGGCCATCTCATGAGAAGAGAAGACTCCCTGGAAAAGACCCTGATATTGGGAAAGATGGAGGGCACAAGGAGAAGGGGATGGCAGAGGACGAGATGGCGGGACAGTGTTCTTGAAGCTACCAGCATGAGTCTGACCAAACTGCAGGAGGCAGTGGAAGACAGGAGTGCCTTTCGTGCTCTGGTCCAGGGAGTCACGAAGAGTCGGAAATGACTAACAACAACAATAATGTGAAGATCAGAAGGGCTGGGACAAACTAGTGCTTTCACGAAAGCAGAATTGTAGAGTTGGAAAGGACCTTAAAGGCCTCCTAGTCCAACCCCCTTACATAGTGCAGGATCCGCAAGGCAGGATGCGCCTGCAGCATTCCTAAGGGATGGCGGTCCAGTGAAGGAAAGCCAGCCACCTCCCAAGGCAGCCTAGGCCCACTGCCAAACAGATTTGCCTCTCCATGCAGTGCTGCGTTTTAAGAAGGACACGGAGAAGCCGCAGGGCAGGGGCTCAGGATCGCAAGATGTCTGAAAACAAAGTCCTACGAGGGAGGATTGAAAGCACTGGGGATGTTTGGCCTGGAGAAGAGAAGATGAAAGGCAGTCATGGTGAGGGCTGGGGGAGAAATTTGATCCAGTTTACATTTAAAGCTGAACTAAATTTATTATTTATTGCATTTATATCCCACCTTTTTCCTCCATGGAGCTCAAAGTGACATCCATGGCTTTCCCCCTCCATATTTAATTCTTAATTCCCCACAACAACTGGCCCTACTTCATGGCCAAGTAGGGATTGGAACCCTAGTCTCCTCCTGGTCCTAGCGAACCAAAGCACAGCTGTGCTTCGAAATTCGCACTCCTCTGAATTTTGCAATGTAGTTCTGCAGTCAGGTAATGTGTACAGAACTGCATATACTCTGGGGATTTGTGCCAATAAATGCATAAATTAGTGAAAATAACATGCAAACATGCATTCTGTTGTGGGAAATTACTTCACCCAAAAAAAGTCATATTGTGTGAAATTGTGTACAAAAAATTGTATTGGGAGAAATTCACGCTAAAATGCTGATGAATTTTCCATGAGGAGTTCTTTAAAAAAAGGAAAAAGCACAAACTGGCATGGAAATGTGGAGAACCAAACCTAGGATTGAGAAGAATGAAAAACCAGGAGAAAGCAAAGTCGGGACAGCAGTCTCTCAACATTAGAAGGGCTTCTCATGCAGAAGATGACGCAATACCCTCTCGTGCTCAGCATGACTGGGGTGACATGCCCCAGCCCCAGGTTAGGAAGTCTGGACTGATCCTTGGAATTTGGGTAGTCCTGGACCTTAGAATTGCCCAGAAAACAGTCTGGAAAGGTTTGGGCAGTTTCTAGCTCTGGGAAACAGAAGGAGGAATCTCCAAGGTATCATGTGGAACCTTGGGAAAGGTTGGGAAAACAGCAACAGTTTCCAAAGCCAGTGCAAGATCTGTGGGATGCCCTCCCTTTTCCTCAGTGTTGGCCTGGACCAAAGCACCAGTTATGTTAGTGCATTTTGTAATTTTATAAGCTATGTGCCCTTGCTGCTCAGCTGAACCGTTGTAAATGGCCTATTTTTATTGATTCTAGTCTAGTACAGGCAGCGACCATTTTGCATGTCTCCGATTGATGCGCACACACTTGTCGCTGCCGACCTGGAAATGGCCGGGAAATGGGGAGGGCTTCTGCAGACTTTGCCGACACACCCGGGGGGTCAGGAATGGATCCCCCATGCGAAATGGTCCCTTCCTGTAATGATTTGGAGTGGATTTCTGTTTAATAATCATTCACTGATAATTAATGTTACTGTGTAATATTCTAAATGGATTAGGGGAAGTGGGGCAGATTGATACAGAAAAATTCAATCTCATATTTTATGTAACAAAAATGAGTCAAATAATATTTTTTTTGCTTGATGCATGGCATAACTAATCAATATTATAATAGCAATCAAAAGAACCATTAAAGTTAGAAGATCATGAGAATATAATGACCAGTAAAAAAAATGGGTTTTGTATCATTCTGCCCCACCTATGGCGCACTTTAATACATTGGACGGGGCACTTTGATACAAAGCGTAAATTGTATGAGAATGGTAATTATTTTCAAAAATTTAATGAAAAAACAATTTTTATTGTGAGAGATCATAATCAGCCTTACAATTTGTTACTTAAAATCTAAATTACGTATCAAAACTTAACAGTGTTTCACACATATCATAGACTTTATGACAGGTTTTCTTAACAAAACATCAAAACTTATATTAATCTTTCCTCAAACACCTATCCATTTAAAAAAAAAAACTTTGGAAAAACTTAGAAAGTATAAGAACTCACATTAGGTAGTCAAAAAATAGTAATTTAAACAAAATGCTTATAAAAAATAAGATAATTACTTAACATTTAGCTTCTATTGCACATTCTATCCACTTAAGTCAATAGAAAAAGTATAAAGAGATGATGTTTGAGATGTGCCCTTTGGGAAATTTGGTTTCGGCTCTAGCAAAACAACATCCTTGAAATCAACAGTTGCCTTATCTTCTACAGTGGGGAAAACAAACATACAAGATCCTGGTTTTTTCCTGAGATATGATACTTGATAATCGGTCATATTATATTTAGAAATGACTTTGGCCACGTAGTAAACAACAGTTGTTGTTTTTTCAAATTTAATGAGTTTAGAGATTTCACGCAAACTTGTATATTGGGGCACTATTGTACATTAGCTTTTATATGTATCAATGTGCCCCGTGTCTTGGTGTATTAAAGTGCCCCGACAGACATTTTCAAAAAAAACTAACAATTATTAATAAAATCACTTGTAATCCTCATTACTGAGTGGAACAACTTATCTTTGGTATTTTTACATCTTAAGTAAATGACGTAAAACAGTGTTGGAACACTTTTACATTTCACGTAATTTTTTAGTTGGCCGTGCTAAAAACACACCTCCTCTCGTCAAACGCTAACAGCTAACTGGCGGGCAGCACGGGTGCAACTGTTATACTCACACATGTATAGACACGTTTTAGTGATGTCGCGACACAAATAACATTTCTCAAAATGGAAATATTGTTGGTGTATCAATGTGCCCCGTGTATCAATATGCCCCTCTTCCCCCTACTGAATACTACTTTACTTGATAAAAGTTGCTTGTTTTAAAGTCATATTTTTTATTATGACTTATTTGCATTGGATCAGATTTTTATAAGGCATGTGACCTTTTTTGTATTTGTTGTTGCTTCTACAGCTTGTAAATGGCCTTGTGTATAGCAATATAAAAAGGCAATGTACAAATCAAAGGCAAAAATGAAATGTGGGCTGGGGACTCTTCGTGGGATGGAAAATGCACTTGTCCGTGTTGAGTGGACAAATGCTTTCCTGGGCCTCTGTTTTAATGTCCACTTGGCTGTTTCTCGGTCCCATCCGCTCCTCCCCGTGGCTCATTCCTGGCACTCCCATCAGCCTCTCTCGCCTTGGTATCTCAGCACTGGGGCTCTGTAGCTCTCCACCAGGTGACAGAGGCAACAGTGTTATCAAGATGACTTTAAGACTTCTTCACTCTGCCGGTAATCTGGCTGCGCTCACAATGTCAAGTTAATCAAGCTGTATCAGCGCTCACCTGTCATTGGAAGTGTTGCTGTGTTGGCCAAGAACACCTCTCCGTGCCCGTGAGTTATCGGAAGTTATCGGAACATCAGTTCTGCGGTGTTCTGACTGCCTGAAGTGTGCTGGGCGATAACTGTGGCTTAGCGATGCTGTCTGCAGATAAACCGATAGGACATAGTGATTTGTGCCCGTATAATGGCTCATGTGATCCTGCTCCAGAGCTGCAGCGCAGATGATACGACACCAGCCCTTTGCATAATTAAACAGCAACACATTAATTGGGAGGTTATTTTAGGGGATGTGCCATGAGAATACAAATCTTTCTAGCAGAATCATCCCCTATCTAAATTAATAAAAACTAGCGTAAAGCTGTTTTCAAGAAAAGAAACAGCTTTTTACTCGTGCTTCTGGTGGCCTTGCCGCTCTGTCTTGTCTTGTTGCTGGGTAGATACACTGTTGGTGGCAGGACTTCACTTCTGCATGCCTTAGAAGAGCATGGGGCCCTCCAGCTGTGTTGGACTACACCTCTCATCCTCCCTCACTGCTGGCCTTCTTGCATGCGGCTGGTCGGAGCTGTAGATGAAAACATCTGGAGGGCAGCATGAAGGCTATCCCTGCCTTGCCCTCCAGATGTTTTGATCTACAGCTCTGACCAGCTTCCTTCTGGCTTCCTTCTGGCTGCAAATGATGGTTTAGGCTGCGTTGCTTTCCTCAGCAGAGCATTTATGCAACCTGCTCTGTATTCCAAAACTTGTCTCACATCACTGTTCCACTTCAAGGTTTCTTCACAGGAAGGTGAGGATTTCATCAGAGGGACTGTTTCATTCAACCGGGTCCTCTCACCCTTGTTCCTGGGCCATATCACTCACTTCGTTGGGGTTGGAGAAAGATAGATAGATGATAGATAGATAGATAGATAGATAGATAGATAGATAGATAGATGATAGATAGATAGATATAGATGATAGAAGCTGAGATTTCATCTTGCATATTATTTACTTCACAAAAGTTATACCCAGACGTTCAATTCAAATTTTAAAATAAAGCGCGCACGCTCTCTCTCTCTATATATATATGAATGAAGCAAACATTTTAAAAGGAAGGAAAAAGCTTGCAGCAGTTGTACTAAATGAGGAAGAGCAAACTCTGCATAATGCCCTGAGATCTCCGGATGAAGGGCGGTATACAAATTTAACCACTCAATAAATAAAATAATTTGCAACCAACCAAATGTCTTGCCAAATGAAATAGTTAGATGTCAGCAAATGCTCATGGTGAACATCCCTGGGTAACACATTCCATAAAACAGGACCTATGACAAAAAAAAGCCCTGTTCTTGGTAGAAGCCGACCTTCTCTTCCAAAGCAGGGGCTTCCATAGAAGATGGAAATAGGCAGGTTCAAGTGGGAGGAAGGGCTCCAAGTGCTCTCCATCTCCAAGTGCATAGGCAACATTCTGGTGGCCACTCTGGGGGTCTGCCAGGCTGGTTCAAAGCACCCAGTTGGCTGCAGCCTAAAAGTCATCCCAAATACTCTCTGGAACTCACCTGGCACCAGCTTGGCATCTTCTCATCAGTCATGTCTTCTAGGGTCAACAGGCGTTATGGGGTACGCAGGAACTCTGTGAAATGTCTGCCTTGCTCTCCCTCTTGTTTTGTGAGTATAGCTTGTGTCTGCTCCACTTCCTTCAGTGTCTCTCAAAGCCATTGGCGTACACATTCTTCCAATTTCCACTCTTCCAAATAATTATGGAGGCGTGAGAACACTTGCCAACAAATCCACTTCAGATCTCTTCTGAGGCTGCAAAATGCATTTAATGCCCGTACAAGGGCATTAATACCCTCAAATGCTGCCTGTTGGAGGCCTAATGAACTTTTAATGCCTTGGGATTATTTGCCACCTTGTTGCCTTGGAAAGATGATGATGACAACGACGACAATAGCACCGTGCATGTGCATAGTACTTTGGAGTGTTTTCCATGCAGCACTGACATCATATCCATCATATACCAGCTACTGGCCACAATGTCTTTGTCCTACCTCCACGGTCGGAGACATGATGCCTCTGAATGCCAGTTCCTGGAGATCACAAGTGAGAAGAGTGCTGCTGAGCTGAGGTTCTGCCGGTGGGCTTCCTGCAGGGATCTGGCTGCCACTGTGAGAATTCTGAACTCAGTGGCCTTCAGTCTGATGATCCAGCAGGGATCTTCTTATGTTCTTTGCTTTGCAAAAACAAAACAAAACTGAAAAAGGAAGGAAATTAATTGACTATAGGCATTTTTGTGTTTGGCAGGGGAACTGCCTTATGAAATTAGGCATTTCAAAGGATAGCTGTGTTCACGTATTGTTTCTGAAAGTATGGATTTTGTAGCTTTGCATTTAAACCTGAACTGAATTAATGTGTCTCCTCCACCTCTGCCCCTGGCACTTCCCAATGGTACCAACACTGAAGCGCCAACTTCAATAAGGCATAGGTGATGGTGGACCTTGGGGTCTCAAATTTCAGCAGTGCCCTGGGTAACGTCAACATTTGCCCCCTTTCTCTTGCCTTCCATTCTGCATCATAGTTGTGGCACCTCCTACAGCTCCCCTGAGGCTCCATGCCCAGTGCGACTGAATGGGTTGTGCTCCTCTCAATCCACCTCTGGAATAGGCTGTGGAGGTCTTATAGGGTTCCCCCTCCTCCTTCGAGGGTGGACCTTTCCTCCCCAAGAAAAGGAGATCCAGATCAGCCTACAGCTGAGGGTGGGCACATTTTCAGCCCAAGGCTTTCTTTGGGGCAACCCCTTAAAGAGTCACGTGCCCGTGTTGGGTGGCCCCAGAGGCAAAAGTAGCCCAGGCCAAGGAATGCAAAAACTTTACTTTGCATATACATTCGGCTAGTTTCTAAGTGTTCTCCCTCCAGGAAAGCAAAGGTCCTTATTGGAGTTCGAGGGCACATGCCAGCCAGGCAAAAGAGAATGTAGAGCAAGGCAGGTGAGCAGCATGGCCTGCAGACCTTCCAACATTACTCTGATGGAAATCGGGGCGCGTGTCTTTTGGTGTGGTGCTTCTGCCTGAGTTAAGTGGCTCTCACGGGAGCCAGCTGATTCGTGCAAGAGCACAGCACCAGTGCAAGCGCTGGCTGCAAGGGGTGGCTCACCCACCTCCCCAAGCTTGGGGGGTGCTGGAGGGGAGAAACAGGACATGGCTTCTGTAATTCCAGGACGCCCCAGGGAAATCAGGACACTTGAAGGGTATGGGCCTGGGGAGAGAAAGTGAGGTGAGTGGGAAGGGGAGTGTCCTGGAGAGGGTCCCGAGGGGCAGACAGACAAGACTTGAGGGCCGTATTGCCCCCCTGGATCTGGGGTTCCCCCACTCTGTCATTGCCTCTGAGATGCCTTCCCAGGGGACACTAGCATGTCATCCCAAGTAACATTAAAATGACAGCAAGTGTTATTCTGCCAGTTTTCTATGCTCTGGGAAGTGACTATGTTTAGATTATTTATTTATTTTTAAATGCTGGTGTGCACCTCGCTCTGCAGCCCCCTGCCTGCAGGATGGAAATGACATGGTGCCAGACACCCCTTGCTGCTTGAGTCTGCCAAAGTTACACACTAGAAGAGGGGATTTTATCCACCAAACACCAGCTTAGGAAGCTCATCCTTGCTTCAGGGCCTGGTGGATGTTGCACAGTGTAAGAACTAAGAGAGAGCGTTTTATTCTTTGGCTGCCTTTATGCTAGATGGTTGTCCAGCTTTTGTTGGCAACTAGCAGAAAAGGGACACTGGACTGAACTCTTCCACCATTTTGGTTGTGTGATCAGAGAAAGGCTCTAGCCACGGGCTACTGCAGGGGATGGGTTCCCACAGGCCCAGGGGCCAATTGCAGCCCCCGAACTGGTCCTTGGGACTCTCCTCAGGCCACACCTTTCACCAGCTTTGCTTGCACTCTCCTTGGGAATACAGTGGTACCTCGCAAGACAAATGCCTCGCAAGACAAAAAACTCGCTAGACAAAAGGGTTTTTTGTTTTTTGAGCTGCTTCGCAAGACGATTTTCCCTATGGGCTTGCTTCGCAAGACGGAAACGTCTTGCAAGTTTGTTTCCTTTTTCTTAACACCATTAATACAGTTGCGACTTGACTTCAAGGAGCAACTCATAGAACACGGTGTGGTAGCCTTTTTTGAGGTTTTTAAAGACTTTGGTGATTTTTGAAGCTTTTCCAAAACTTTCCCGACACCGTGCTTCGCAAGACGAAAAAAATCGCAAGACGACAAAACTCGCAGAACGAATTAATTTCATCTTGCGAGGCACCACTGTATGTCCTTGAGACCTGATAATGAATTTGGCTTGCCTGGAGAGAGGATAGAGAGGTGTGAGTACGTTCCCGGCAAGTGTCCCCGGGGGAAAATGGGGCAACCCATTTTCTCACATGAGAGCACAGACTATAAATACATATAATTTAAAAAATCTCATTCTTCAAATCACTTGCTTGAGATACAAAATAATGACCTACAAAAAAGAGGCTTTGCAGGGCATGGCGAATGGAAACCTTGGGTCTTATATGGACAAGAAAGATGTTAGAGCCTGAGAGGCAACAGCTGAAGCCCCCCCACCCCATTCCACACTGCAGCCTGCTCTCTTGGGCTTTGCACCTCAGCTCTGCTCAGCTGCCTTCGCAATTACTTATTGATCATTTCACAGAACATATTCTTTGTTGGTGGGTCACTGAGGCGTGTGCAAGATGAGCGTGAGAAAATCTTATTTGAGGTGGAAGGGCCATGGTAATCTGAGATATGAAGGGGGGAGAGGGGAGACATTTGCATGGAGATGATAATTTGCAGTCCAGCTGAATCCAATGCAGAGCTGCTTCTTTTAATCACTCTGAAGAGAAGCATTCCCACTGCGCTGCCTTGCAAAAACTGGGTTGCCATTTGGGGGGCAAAACGAGACGAATTGTGGAATACCTGTGTGCATTTCTCACATGTGTTTAAAAATAAGAACTAAATAGCAACCATGGTGATAAGAATTGTGCTGCTTGGGGAGAGGTGCTTATGAATTTTTTCAACAGCAACAAAATGGGGGGGAAAGACAATGGCGTACTACTGAATGACACAACATATGAAGTTTGCTATACGTTGAAAAGCCAAAACTTTTTCAGTATACAGTGGTACCTCGGGTTAAGAACTTAATTCGTTCTGGAGGTCTGTTCTTAACCTGAAACTGTTCTTAATCTGAAGCACCACTTTAGCTAATGGGGCCTCCTGCTGCCGCCGTGGGATTTCCGTTCTCATCCTGAAACAAAATTCTTAACGAGAGGTAATATTTCAGGGTTAGCGGAGTCTGTAACCCGAAGCGTATGTAACCTGAAGCGTATGTAACCCAAGGTACCACTGTATTTTCAAATAACTGTCGCAGGTTGAACAGCATCAGGGAGAGGAGGCTAACTCCTCCTTCACCTTTCATTAGCGTGCCATAGAACGAATCCTGGCTCCCCATATCCACCCACCCATATGTACTGTATGTAAATAAAACCTGTTTGTGAGACATTATTCCTGCATTTCACATATTCTCTGGTTGGGCCTTGAAATAGCAGCCTTGCAGAGCCAGCCCTGCCGTTGGGCAGAAGGAGGCAGCTGCCTCAGGTGCCAGAGGCTTGAGGGGGGAGCGGCAGCAACAAGGGGGTGGAGCTGCATGTGCCCTGCACCGCGGAAGCTGGCCTCCAGCAACCAGGTGTTATGGGGGATGCTGCCCCGTCACTAGTTTTGCAAATCCAATTGACTTCTGTATGTGGAATTCGAGCGGGGGGGGCCTCTCCTTCTTGTCCTTTGCTTCAGGCAGAAATATGTCTTTGGCCAGTCCTGCGATCCTGTTTAGTTTAGCCTTTGGAGTTTTTTCCCCAAAGCAAATTATCTGTCTTGAGGTTTTCAGCAGAAAGAGAATGGTAATAAATAGGAACAACAAGATGCACACACAAATTGGAAACTGGAACCCAGTAGCTTAGTAGACGGGCTGCATCGCTGGGTGGAATTGATTCATGCAAGATTCAGCTCAATAGAGATTACATTTGACAGGCGCACAGAGAGAGGAAAGAAGAAATATTACGTGAATTTCCAGTCCAAGGGCCTAATGAGGATGGCTGCTCTCATCTTCCCCACACCTATGTACAAGGAAATATATGGGTGTTCCTGGAGAACCTCTGCTTTTCCAGATGCAAACATTGGTACATGCAAAAGATGAGAACCACATTTCTGGAAAAGAAATGATTCCCCCAAAGCCTGGCAAGTCAGCTCATTTGTGGTTATAACATCCCACACTTTCAAATAGAAAGGGAGTAATGAAACTTAAGGCATTTGTTCCTTTTGTATATATACCTCAAAATATCTATAGCAGAGGCAGGAAACTTATGGCCCCAACTGCCCTCATCCTTGGCCACTCTTGGTCTAGAGCTGGTGGCAGGCAGAATCTAATAACATCGGGGAGGAAGCAAGAGTCCCCCATCCTGGATCTGCAAGAATGTCCTCAGCACAAATGAAACAGTCATCCTTGAGGCAAAGAGAGAGCCATGGATATTAAGACTTGGGACCATATCCTATGTTCTGTGTGTTTATGGGTGGCAGAGCTCAAAGGTCCTTCAACAACGGGATTTTGGTGATAAGAATTGATTATGATAGCCATTCAGTGCCAAAATACGTGTCTTCCACATAGGTGTCGTGTATTCCTTCTAAGATAGCCAACTATGAGCTGCTAGCTGGATCAGGTCCCTGCTGTTCTTCAGATCCAAAATGCCCCCCTCATGCCTGCTCCCTGCATAGTGGCTGCAGGGGAGAGAGCACCCATTCACTCCACCCATGGCTCTTAAGGTGACGGAGAATTAAAAGTGGGCATAGCAGCAGTTGGGGATCTCCATATGTGCGCGGCTATTTCCCAATGAAGTGAAGGGTTATGGGTTCCTAGCTGACCTCAGAAGAGCCCTGATGGATCCAAACCAAGGCCTTTATAGTCCAGCATCCTCTTTCCCACCGTTTCCAGCCTGGTCCCTCTGGAAGCCTCCAGGCAGGTATGGGCCCTCTCTCCAAGGATGAATGCTTCCTCTCATCCTGAAGGCATATAGCAAACGGGGGGGGGGCAAGGGGATGCCCTCCAGATGTTATTGTGCTGCAACTCCCAGGAGCTCTGGCCAGCATGGTCAATGGTCAGCAGAAAAGGGTGTTGTAGTCCAACAACATCTGTAGAGCATCCTCTTGGCTACCTCTGGCATATAGCCGCCACAACCAGTAACTTTCTCCTGCATGAACTGGTCTCATCCTCTCTTAAAGCCATCATGAATTGCTGACCAACATCAGTTCTTGTGCCAATGAAGTCCAAAGAAAGGAGGTGATTTAAGGGTTTGTGCCACTGTAAGTGTGTGTGTGTGTGTGTGTGTGTGTGTGTGTGTGTGTGTGTAGGGGAGAGAGAGAGAGAGAGAGAGAGAGAGAGGGAGAGAAATGTGAGGCAGGAAAGGGAGTTGTTCAGCGTTTGTCGATGTTGTTAGGAAAGAAATTGTGTGTTATGAAACTGATACTGTTTGAGTATGCCATCATGGCAAAGCTGATGAAAGAAGGCTGGCCAAAGATTCATGCATTTATGCAGAACTGGGAAGCCATTATGAATGTTAAGAAAACCAAATCAATTTTTAAAATTAATAATACTAAAAGGGGACTTGGTCACATTGCAGCCCCTACCACAGGCAAAAGTGCTCGTTCTTAATGTCAAATGTGTTTGCTGAGTGTAACCAAGTTGGCCTCTGCAACAGGTAATGACAGTCAGAGCTGGAAGTTAGGAAGAGAAAACAGAGTATAGAGATTTGGGGGAAATGCTGGAAGCAATAGCTTTGCAATTATTGTGAGACTTAATTCAAAAGCAGATACATTAGAACTCGAGGGTATGACTACTGTCATCCTTCAGAGGGGACCTGAATGTCCCATTTGCTCACAGTCCCTTCGACTTGTCCCCATACCTAGCTATCCAGCCTTTTCTCCTTCTCTGCCTAAGCACTCCTTTGCCCTTGAATATTTCTGCTGCCCTCTTCCATTCCCCCACCCAACAGGCCCTTTTATAGAGATGTAACATGAGTTTAGTGCAGTTATTCGAGCAAAGGTCAGAGCATCAATACTGAAGAAGTGTTTTGAGTGTTGTTTTCTATTTCCCTCCTGAGGTGCTCCATCATCCAAGAAGGGGCTTGTCACTAGTCGTGGGCAAGCACACTCTGGCTCTCTCCATAATTGGCCCAGTTTTTCCAAGCTTTCCCAAAGAAAGCAGATAGGAAGCCGCCTTGTGCTGAGTCAGACCATTCGTCCATTCAGCTCCTTATTCTCTCATCTCAGGGGCAGCTGCTCTCCTGAATATCAGGCAAGGAGTCTCTCCCAGCCCTACCTGAAGACGCCATTGCGGATTGAACTGGGGAACTTCTGCATGCAAAGCAGATGCTCTGTCACTGAGCTACTGTAAGATTCTAGTCCTCATGTCTCTGGATAAAGGGCTGAATTAAATAGGTCCTAAGTTCAATCGCTGGCATCTGCAGGTAGGGTTAGGAGATGCTCCAGACTCCTTGCCCCTATAAAGCTGGGTGACTGTTAAGAAGGAGGGAGGGAGAGAGGAAGAGGGGCAAGGGATGTCGGGAGTAGAAGGAGAGAGTAATACAGAGAACATTCTCCACTTGTAGGGCTATTTGTACATCTCTCCTTATGCGACACACAAACATCCAGGCACACACACCATCCAGCTGCTTTGCTATTTTCTTGCATTTCTCAAGCCCTCTGTGTAAAAACTAAGGAACTGTTAGTTACTGAAGCTGGGGAGGATTTTTGTTTGGGGGATTTTAAGAAGATAAACAGTCATGCAAAAGTGTTTCCCCAATTTTTTGCTGCTTTTTTATTTCAGGTGTCTTTTGTGACCTTTTGAAAAATGGAAGCAATTAACCATTCAAAAAAAGAAAGCATCAAAAACAAAATGAGCACCCCAAGGCATACCTTTGTATTTTGGGCAAATTAATCTGGAGTAACTACCATTTTCTGTTTCTGTACCAAACAACAACAATTAACACATATTACAGGCCTACAAAACTGAAGGCAGAGAAGTCCAATGCATTTATTTATTTCAGGCATTTATATCTAGCCTTTTAATCCAATGGATTTTAGTTTACAATTGAGATGGATCAATCAGAAGTGAACCGAAACATCAGCAAAATTACTAAATAAACCTATTATCAGCAAGCTCAATATGGAAGCAGGTTATTCTTCAGAATGTTAGGTGGAAATGGCAATGAGGTCAGCATGTGTCACATGACTTCCTCCGCTAAAGAAAGGCTGTGCAGGTTTTCACCCACAAAGCTGGCCAGGTTTAGGGTGCAGAAAATGAAAGGATGCCTGGGTCTCCCCTGAACATTCCTCAAGTCTCCCCAGGGTGCAACAGCGCACTGGTTGACAACCAATGAATTTGATTTGTGATGTGTATATACTCTTATCTCAGCTTCCCAAAGTCTAGGATTATGGGTAAAACTAGATGAAACTTGAGTTCCACAACTCTCTCCTATTTTGTTTTTAAGTTAGAATAGGTTTGGGGGTTTGGGGTTTAAAAAAGGAAAAAACAAAATCCCACCATTGGTGAGCATCCTCAAAGGGCTTCTACCCTTTGGGTGGTTTCCTCAAATCTTGGATTTGAGGGAAACTAATATGAGGCAGAGGCTGCAATTCACTCAGACAGTAGCAGTCCTAGCCCCTGCCTTTCCATTTGACCCAGGACCAGCTGCAATGGGGATTCTGTTGGGGGCCTGCTTTTAGTGACCTTCCTCTCTCTGTCACTCATGGTGTGTGAGCAGGGGTCTCATTTTTCTGACCTCATCCAGTTGCCAGTCAACTCCTTCATTAAAAATGGAGGTGGAGGATGGGGGACCAAAATGAGTGAATAGCAAGGAGAAGACAAAGGCATAAACGTGTTTAGAAATTAAAGCATTCCCGCCGCCCTTTGGTTTCACTGCTTTGCAGATAGCTGCAGGAATACTTAGCACAAAGCCTGAGGTCTGCAGAAGCCAGTCTCTTAGCAGCAGGAAAAAAGTTGCTAAATATTTATTTGTAAACCCAGAGCCTTTATCTCTAAACCTGTGTTGAGTTCAATAAAATTTTATTTAGCAGCTTACAGCTGGAGGACTGCACTGGAAAGCCCTGACTCGGGGGCTTTTAAAAAGAAATCCAAAATGGAAATGCAAGGATTAGTTCTAGGCTACTTTTGCGATATCCCTGGGAGTCAAGATCCACTCTCCTGTTACCTGCGCAGATCTAGGGATGATAACTTACTTGCATGCCCATTGAGCTTTGTCCATTCATGCTGAAATCCATTGAGATCTATCCAAATGTACCAGAGGAATAAATATTCCTAGTACAGAGCAGCCTTACCTGGCCTGTGGTCCTCTAGATATTCCTGAACTCCAGCTCCCATCATCCCTGACCATTGCCAGGCTGGTGGAGGCTGGTGGGAATGGAAGTCCACCTACATCCAGCAGGACCAGGCGGAGGAAGACAGGTAGAGAGTCCCTCCAAGGCTCACCTGCTAAACTCTGGAGTGCAATGACACCTCCCTGACTAGTCTTAGCCTTCATAGTTCCACTCTCTGGGAATGTCAGGATCTGCTGAAATAACTGCTCTCAAAAACAAGCGTTACTATTTTTAGAGGGGGAAATGTGCTTTTTATACTTCATAATAATTTTTGAACAGTCATCCACACATCCCAAAAACCTTGTGCCTTTGCCAGATACGCCTCCTACCTAGGCTCACTTTCTACTTTATCACAAGAGTCACTCAGGATGCAGAATGGGCAAGTTGACCAGAAGCAAATGTTTTGCAAATAACTCATCTCATCTGTCCCTTTTGCCCCTTTTGCCCCTTTTGGAGGCAGGGGGCCTCTGAATAATAAAAAAAGATAAAGACCCCTGGACGGTTAAGTCCAGTCAAAGGTGACTATGGGGTGCGGCACTTGTCTTGCTTCAGGCTGAAGGAGCCGGCGTTAGTCCACAGACAGCTTTCCAGGTCATGTGGCCAGCAGGACAAAACCGCTGGCGCAATGGGATACCATGATGGAAGCCAGAGTGCATGGAAACGCCGTTTACCTCCCTGCCGCAAGGGTACCTATTTATCTTCTTTGCACTGGCATGCTTTCAAACTGCTAGGTTGCCAGGAGCTGGGAGAAAGTAATGGGAGCTCACCCCATCCTGGGGATTGCAACCACCAACCTTCCAATCAGCAAGCCCAAGAGGCTTAGTGGTTTAGACCAAAGCGCCACCCACATCCAGTTTTGCCAGGTCCCCACGGCATCTGCTTCCCCACTGTGAGGTCAGAGGGGTGGACTAGAGGAGCCTCTTGCAGAGTCAGAGAATGGGAGAGTTGGAGGGGTCTGCAGGGTCATCCAGGTACCAGGCATCTTCAACCCTTTCAAACCCAGAACCCACTTTTAACTCAAACATGAATTTGAGGGCCCATTGCTTTACCTTTTGCCATCTATTTGTGTGGTGATAGTGCTCCTGTGACCCACCTTGGTGCAGGCCATGGCCCCCTTGTGGTCCCGGCCCACCAGTGGAAGATCAGTGATCTAGCCCAACCCGCTGCAATGCAGGAATTCACAGAATTACGTTTGTTTAAATTGATTTTTATTGAAATTTGCTCAGACAAATGAGAAAGACCTAATAACAAACACAACATACGTGACAAATACTGACTTTGAGCTTAGGGCTCGTCCACACTTCCTCTCGCCCCCTGCCTAGAGAGCACACTTCCTAGGCATGTGGCTGAGCAGTTTTTCATTTGTCACACTGCTTTCCCCAGGAAAACCTGCTGTTCACTGCTGAACCAGAACAAACATCAATCCACAGAAAAACTTACTGCCATTTGTTCCTATTCAGCAGTGAACAGTGGGTTTGCATGGGCGAAAGTGGAACAAGCAGAGGTGTGGGTGAGCTCTTTATCCCAGCCCCGGGGCATTTTTTCAGCCAGAATTCAGTTCTGGCTTCTCTCAGGTGGGCACCATTGCCATCCTAAGAGAATGAGGGAGGTGTTCACAGTGAGTTCTGGCACCTCTTTCTCTAGAAAAATAGCACTGCCCAGTACTACTGGCTGAGCCACAGAAAGAAAATGGAAGCAACCAACCAGAGGACCCATAAAAGAGGTAAGATATAGAGCCAGCCTTCTAGAAGAGCAAAGGGATTCATGAATGTGTAAGCTAAAGGCCAAAAGTGTTCAGGTATAATACTCATCCATAATGGACGGTGGAGATCTCGGGGGAAGAACTGCTTTCTTTTGTTGCAAAACAAATCCAACAAGTGGAAATCAAGAACCTGTGATGGATGTTTTGGATTTGACCCCTCCAAGTTGTCTGTCACATTCTTCCGCTACCAACTGGCACTCCTTATTCCAGCATCCCTTTAGAGTGACATGGGAGTTAGATCTCCTGCCTGGTGGATGAGTAAGTCTTTCTACAACACAGTTTGCATGGCAGCCTTAACACAGGAGAACAAGGGTCCCTCCTCCCTTCTTTGCCTATCCCATGCCTCGCCAGCCCAGCCTTCTCCAAGCCACTCCATCTCAAGCCACCTTAAACTTTTAAGTCTCTGCCCTTGCACTGCTGAGGTTTGCTCAAGTCAATGGTGAGAAACTTAAGAGATGCTCATGCAGGCAGCTGGTTCAAGGGTAAACATCAGAAATGTAATTTATGATTGTCTTTTATTAGCTGACTCTGAAATGCTGCTTGGGGATTTCTCCCCCCCCCCTTTCTTTCAAATAGAAAACATCCTGCCCAAACTGTGCTCCATCAGCTTAGTTAGGCTTCTGTCCTCACAGAGGACTCTTCCCAGCTTAAGGCAGGTTGTGCCCTTGCTTCTAGAAAGCTGAACACAGAAGTAATGAGCAGCCAAGCCTTCCTAGCCTAGCAGCAAAGGGGTCTTATGAAATATAACAACAAAGATAGACAGATAAATAAACATAAAAAATGAGTTCTGCTAATGTTCAGCTCCACTGATTGAGTGGGAGCACAGCAGCAGACCCAACCATTGAAACTGAGTGTTTGGCCCCATCCGCACAATACATTTCATAGAATCATAGAATTGTAGAGCTGGAAGGGATCCCGTGGATCATCTAGTCCAACCCCTGCAATGCAGGAATCTCAGCTAAAGCATCCATGACTGATGGCCATCCAGCCTCTGCTTAAAAACCTCCAAGGAAGGTGAGTCCACAATCTCCTGCAGGAGTCTGTTCCACTGCCAAACAGCTCTTATTGTGATGCCAAAATCCAGCATCGCCTGAGCTCTGCGAGTGCGGCTTTCTCCCGACTAAAGTGCAGAGTGTTTGAGGACTGGGACATTCACAGGGAAACCAAAATGCTTGTTTACAAAGCTATTGTACTACCAACCTTACTGTACGCTTGTGAAACATGGACCACTTATAAACGCCAATTCCTCGAAAGATTCCATCAATGGTGCCTCCAGAAAATTTTACACATCACTTGGGAAGACAGGCAAACTAATGCCAGTGTACTGGAAGCAGGGACAGAGCTACCTGCCCTGGCACCCGGAGAGGTAAGGGGCGGGGCTAGCCAGCCTGCCGCTCGTGCGGCGAGCATGGGGGTGCGCTGCTAGCTGCCCACACGGGGAGCGTCCCTAGCTGTCTGCCACCCATGCAGCAAGCCTGGGGGGGTGCCACTTGCCACCCATGTGATGAGCTTCCCTAGCCTTCTGCTGCCCGCATGGTGAGCGTCGGGGGGGGTGCTGCTAGCCACCCACAGCAGCAGCATCCCTAGCAGCCCACCGCCCGCGCAGTGAGGGCCCAGGGGCTCCGCCCACACAGCAAGTGGGGGTGGATGGCGCAGCAATGTCACCCACCTCACAGCTGACACCTGGTGCGCACCGCACCCACCTTCCTCCGCCAGTGACTGGAAGAAGCAAAGCTCACCAGTGTCGAAGCAATGATTCTTCAACATCAACTTCGTTGGATTGGTCATGTTGTGCAGATGCCTGATTATCATCTTCCAAAGCAACTACTCTATTCCCAACTTTAAAATGGAAAGCATAATGCTGGTGGTCAACAAAAGAGGTTTAAAGACTTTCTCAGGGCAAATCTTTAAAAATGTAATATAAACACCGACAACTGGGAAACACTGGTCTGTGAGTGCTCCAGTTGGAGAACAGCCTTCACCAAAGGTGTCATGGCCTTTGAAGACACTCAAACTCAGGACGCAAGGGAGAAACATGCCAAGATGAAGGCACGCTTGGCAAACCCACACCATGATTAACTCCCACCCGGAAACCTATGTCCCCACTATGGAAGGATGTGCGGATGCAGAACTGGCCTCCACAGTAATGGACTCACTGTTAAGACCATGTTTATGGAAGACTTACTCAGATCTTACTCAGCTACAAGTGATCACCAAAGAAGAAGAAGACTATCAGAAAGGTCTTCCTGGTGTTTTTAGTCAGAATCTTCTTTCTTGTAACTTGAAGACATTGGTGCAGGTTCTGCCCTCCAGAGCAGAAGAAAACCAACTTGCTCCATCTTCCATGTGACAGCCCTTCATATATTTGAAGATGACCACTGTATCTCCTCTCAGCCTCCTCTTTTCCAGGCTGAACATACCCAGATCCTTAAACAGTTCCTCACAAGGCTTGGTTTCCAGACCCTTCATTATCTTGGTTGCCCTCCTCTGCACACTTTCCAGCTTGTCAATGTCCTTCTTGAATTTAAAGCAGTATCGTACCACTTTAAACACTCATGGTGTCCCCCAAAGCATCCCAGGGACTGTAGTCTTGTTAAGGATACTTGCAGGACACCCCTATTCTCCTCCCAGAGCTACAAAAGGAAATTCTCACACTGAAAATTATAGCTCTGGGAGTGGAATAGGAGGCCTTTGGAACATCTCTCAGTACCCTTAACAAACTACAGCCCCATTTATCATTTGCCCGATAATAAATGTTGGAAATGTAAAGAAACTGAAGGTACATTCTTTCACCTTTGGTGGACGTGCCCAAAGATCAAGGCTTTCTGGGAAATGATATATAATGAACTGAAAAAGGTATTTAAATATACCTTTCTGAAGAAACCAGAGGCCTTTCTTTTGGGCATTGTCGGCCAATTGGTGCCAAAGAAGGACAGAACCTTTTTTATGTATGCTACAACAGCAGCAAGAATACTTATCGCAAAGTATTGGAAGACACAAGATCTACCCACTTTGGAAGAATGGCAGATGAAGGTGATTGACAACATGGAATTGGCGGAAATGACTGGCAGAATCCGAGACCAGGGAGAAGAGTCGGTGAAAGAAGACTGGAAGAAATTTAAAGACTATTTACAGAAATATTGCAAAATTAAGGAATTTTAGAAGGATGTCGGATAGAAACTAAGAGGTTTTTAGCTGTAATGTTTTTAAGAGACATGAAAAAAAAGGTTAACAATTGGGTAAAAGATTAATGGTAAGGATTTGCTGAACCAACAAACTGAACTGGAATACAAAGAAGGGAGGTATGAGGAGGTCCGGGGAAATAAGAGCAAGGAAGATAGGTTATGGAAAATTATTGTGCTTTTAACTGTTTTATTTTGTATGTTTTTCCTTATTTTCTACTTTTTTGTTATATCTTAAAATTTTATACTTTTTTCTTTATTCTGTATTTTCACGTATTTTTTGAAACTTTAATAAATATTATTATAAATAATAATAAAAAAAAACCTACAGCCCCCAGGATTCTTTGGGGGAAGCCATGATTGTTTAAAGCAGCAGCATCCTGCTTTAAATATACAGTGAAGATAGAGCCTTTGTCATTGTAGATGCTCCATACAGCACATGCACACACACCCAAGATTCCTGGGACCAGTAGTGCACCCCTCACAGAGCTACCATTCCCAGCACCCTTATCAAACTACAGTTCCCAGGATTCTTTGGGAGGGTGTTTTAAATGTGCCTTACATGTATGCTGGGAAGGCAGCTTGCATTCACAAAGCAGACCCATGCTCCTCCCGTGATTCAAGGCCCTGGTGATTTGTACAAAAGTTAATTCCACGTTAAATGAAAGGGATATCTTTTCCAGTCTCGTGTGTACTATTCTTTAAATGGGATGGTAATGTTCTCCATCTGATTCCTTGGCTGGAGAGATTTAAGAAGCAACTGGATGGCTTATCTGTTGGAGATGCTGTATTTACATCTGTGCTGCGTATCTTGCATTGAGCCCAGGATTAGAATAGTTTTCCGAGGTGCCTTCAAGCTCTTTGATTCTATGTCGCACAGGGAGAGATGCTGCTGGCCTCTATCTCTCACCAGCCCCAGCAACTATGGTCAGTGGTCAGGGAGGAAGGGAGCTGGGAGTCCAACAGCATCGAGAGAGGACCAGGTTGTCTAGCTCTGATGAAGCAACTAAAGTGTCAGACTCCGGAGACCCAGGTTCAACTTCCCATTCAGCCATGATGCTTGCTGGCTGACCTGGGATTCTTTTCTGTCAGCTTAAGGGGAATAGGAGGATCAATATCCTGCATGCCACCTGGAGCTCATTAGTCCACCGGCTTGGGAAGATTTTTTCCTTGCCCTCCCTATGTTGTGATGTTGCTGTCTTGCATTATTTCGCTTGCTGATTGATTTGTGACAGGGGTGGAGAAGTTCAGGCCCAGGGGTCATGTGCCCCCCCCCCCGGCTTCTCCCCAGGCCATGCCCTTTCCCGTGCCACACAGTTCACTCACGCCCCACCTCCCTTCAGTGCTTTTGCCTGGCCCGATTGGGTCTAAAGTATGGTTACCAGACATCCCCGGTTCTCGGGGATAGCCCCCGGATTTACCAATCTGTCCCCAGACAAAACCCATCCCCAGAATGTCCCTGGATTTAATGTAATGTCCCCGGATTAATCATATGCCTGGGGACTTCCAGACCCTCCCCATAGCCCGAAGCAATCATCCGCTACAGCTCCAGAGAGGGTCTCCTCGGGAGCCGGAGGTGCAGCTGGACTTTGCTGCAACTCTTCCGCCGAAACCTCCCTCACCGTCAGCTCTGCAAACAGCCCTGCTCCTCCTGCTTGCTTGAGCCGGAGACACAAGGCTGCTCTTTGGACCGGCAGAACTAAGGTGCAGGGAAGAAGTCTCGCTGCACGACATCTCTGCAACTACTCTGTCCTGCTTGCTCATGAGGAAGAAGGAGCACTTTTTCATGCCTTTAAAGCCCCCTTTGCTGCATTCTGCCTGCTTGTGAGCTACCAAGCTGGCAGAAAGCAGGATGCTGCCTTGAGCCTTCCCTTCGCTCTCCCAGACAGAGGCTGTTGCTTCAAAGTTAGGGGGGGTTGTGTTGCCTCTTTTGCTCCATTCTGCATGTTGTGAGCTACATTGGATGCTTCATTTTTCTTCTCTTGCACCCACCCCCACTAGCAAAAAATAAAAGGGGAGGAATGTTTTATGTTTATTTTGGGGATGTTTATGTTGGTTCCCCCTAAACAGCTTTCCTGTTCCCTTCTTATTGAAAAATGAACCTTCAAAAAATTAAAATGAACCTTTAAAAAAATAAAAAGAGGCTACCTCTGCTTGCTTGCTTGCCTCCCTCCCCTCCCCTTTGATAAAAAGGGAGAGATTGGTGGGATGGGGCTTGGGGGGGCACCTTCTGTGTCACAATAGGTGTAAATGGAGCAGAGAAGCCTTATGTTCTTTTAAGTTGTGGCTGCTCTTGTTGAGGTACCTCCATTGCAGCGGTACCTATTTATCTACTTGCACTGCATGCTTTTGAACTGCTAGGTTGGCAGGAGCAGGGCCCAAACAACAGCTCCCCCCAGCTCACCCCCTCGTGGGGATTTGAACCACCAACCTTCCGATTGGCAAGCCCAAGCGGCACAGTGGTTTAACCCACAGCGCCACCTGCATCCCAGAAGAGAAGATATTACTTCTTATTTTTTTAAAATAACTTTATGTGCGCGTGTGCGCGCACACACACACTATTTGTTTATTTATTTAAAGTGTCCCCAGATTCATTGGAAAAAATCTGGTAACCTTAAAGGGCTTTCATGCAGAAGATGGCGCAAGCTTGTTTTCTCTTGCTCTGGAGGGCTTTTAAGCAGAGGCTGCCTGGCCACCTGAGATTCCTGCATTGCAGGGGGTTGGGCTAGATGACTCTCAGGGGTCCCTTCCAACTCTACGATTCTCCAATTCTACGAATGGTGAAAATGCCACTTGCTTGCCTGGATGGAGAGAGGTTTGCGCAGAAGCATCTTGAATGAAGCTTCCAGTGCAAAGGAAAGAGTCAGAGCTCTTGCTCCCTTGTCCTCTGTCCTGCTCACCAGGGGGATCTGGCCTTTCCAAAGCTGCCCATGAGAGAATGTGGCCCTTCCTTTACGCCGTTTGAATGTACCCTGCTTAACTTGCTGTTTGCTGCTTTAGAAGCCTTTTTGTTTAAAAGTGATATCATAATTATTGACAGGTCAGTTGACCATTGTGCCAACCAAGTTCAGGGAGAAGAATTTGAACCTAGCCTTGTTTCTGACCTGCTAGTTTTCTGTGGGCAGGGCCTTTTCCTGTTTGGGACAGCCCAGATGTCATCCTTGACAAGCATGCCAACCCAAGTCAGAGAGAAGAGTTCTAGCCTAGGCTTCTTCCTGACCTGCTAGCTTTCTAAGGGCAGGGTTGTTGTTGTTGTTGTTGTGTGTGTGTTTTGGTCATGCCGGAACATTGAACACTGCCCACATTCAGTGCTCCTTATGAAATATCCACCACTGTTTGTTTAGCTCTTGCAAATGCAGTCCTTTGTAAATAGTGCTCCTGTTTATCCAAACATCTCATTATCCAAATGGTGTTGTGTGTTGTTGTTGTTTTTAGATGTTGCTTCTGAGCATCTCCAGATAAATGAAGCATACTGTAATAAAAGAAAATAGGGATAATGGCACTTCCCTCCCTTCCAAATACTTTATGAGGATAAATATATTCAAATATATTAATGACGCTGAACTTATCAGGGAAGAGTAACACAGACAATAAAGCATCTGGGATGGTGACAAGTCAGGAGAAGCAGGAAGAAATGTGTATGTTGAGCTTTGGGAAATGAAGATTAAGAAGGGAGAAGAGGAAGGTAATGGCTTTCACACATTGAAGGGAAAGATGGAACAAAGATGGTTTGCTATTGTCAGGGGGAGGGAGAAACAAAAGTCATTAGATTTATAAAATCAGGGTCAGAAAGGACCAAAAGACCACTTAATTTAATCCCCTGATGTGAGTCAGGATCATCTAACCACACTACTCACAAACAGAGTAGCTGCAGAAATTTTGTCTAAAGAGAAACTTGGAGTAATTATTGGGAAAGTTTGTCCTTTGCACACATAGGAAACTACTGGACATTGAGTCAGACCATTGTTCTGTCTAGCCCAAGGGAGGGGAAATTGGTTCTGGCACCCAATCCCAACAGGCCATTTGGGCAACTGGGTGGGGCTGCCCACCTCTCAGTCACCTGACATCACAATGACATCAGGTGATATGTTTTCCTTTGCCCAGGCAGTTTTAAATCAAACTGTGTGGGCTAAGACACAGGGGATTCTCTACAACTAAGTTCTCCTCAAAGCTGTTGACATCCATCTGTCTTGAGAGACAATGGGGATGAATCCAAAGTGACCTCCCTGAAGCGCAAGTGTGGACAGTGTGGATTGAGATCCTGGGCTGCCCAGATGAAAAGAGACCCCTCTCAGACTCACTGAGGGGGTCCAAAAGAGAGCAGATCAATAAGTTTAGCACCAGCTTGGCTGCAGGTGTTGAAGGAAGGAGGTGTACAAGATGCCATCCAACCACCTTAGGGACTCCAGTCTGGATTTGTCTAGGGTTTACTTCTTCGTCTTTTCTTCCCCCAATGATGTCCTGCAAGGCAGTGGAGGTTTAGGATCAGCATTTACCTTCTCCTAAATGAGCTACCTTCCCAGGTTGACATTGCCCCTTCTGCCCCACACTTCTCTAGTACATACAGAAACCGCCTTTTTGACTGTTGGATCCTCTCTTGGTCTTGTAACTTGAAGCCGTTGGTTTGAGTCCTTTACCCTCCAGAGCAGGAGAAAAAAGTTTTTTCCCTCTTCCATGTGACAACCTTTAGATATTTGAAGGTGGCTATCATATCTTTCCCCAGCCTCCTCTTTTCCAGGCTAAACAGGCCCAGCTCTCTCAACCGTTCCTCATAAGGCTGTGTTATTTTTGTGAGAATCTGGCATTCCTCAGATGAATCATCTGAAAACACAAGCCTTGTAATATCAAGAGGCGGAGGCTGGAGTCTAGTGGCTTCTCTGCTTCTTTTGTCTAATATCCATTTGATGCTCAGCTCTTTACCACAAGGATGTACATGGAATTGTCAGCTCCCAAACTCGTCCAAATAAGGCAGGATGTTCATGGATATAATGAGGTGTAGCCTCTCCAGTCTCAGCCTAATTAGACCCCTTAGACTGAGTTTTCTTTTGCCAGCGATGCTTCTGCTTCTCTCTCCTTCCTCCTCAATGCTTTCTCAGCAAGATCACAAGTACAGTGACTGGGATTCCAAAGGAGAATAACAGAGAGAACAATAGCAGAGGTTTTGCAGGTGTGGGGCCTGAGCTGCAGTGCCACTAAGCATGTTAGCATTTTACATCTGCTGTGGCCAGGGAGGGGCAGATATGTGAAGTTCGCCTTCTTGTTTTTACAGTTTTACATTCAGGCCTCTCCATTTCAGTATCAGTTTGCCAATTTTAAATTTTTTAGTCCTCATGGAAATCCTTCCTTTTATTGTGGATTTCTCCATACAGTGGTACCTTGGGTTACATACACTTCAGGTTACAGACTCCGCTAACCCAGAAATAGTACCTCGGGTTAAGAACTTTGCTTCACCTAACTTACCCCTTCCAGGTTATCAAGAATGTATAAAAATTTGGCAAATGCTTGTTGGAGATGTGGAGGAAATAACGGTGACGTGTGGTGGACGTGTGAAAAGATTAAGATGGGGGTGGAATATATGATGAATTAAAAAAGATGATGGGGATAACTTTTACTAAAAAAACGGAGGCATTTCTATTAAGTATTTTAGATAAAGAGATCCCAAAAAATCTAAGAGAGGTATTCTTGTATGCAACCGCAGCGGCTCGAATACTTGTGGCCAAGGGATGGAAAGATCACGAGGCTCCAAAAATAACAGATTGGCAAATCAAGTTGCAGGAATTGGTGGAGATGGCTCAATTGACTAGCAAACTCAGAGGAAACTCAAAGCAAAAATTTGCAGAAAAATGGAATGGTTATGGAAGATATCTTCAAAAATACTATAATAGTTTTGACTCCGTGCTAGCATTCGAGTGATAAAGGAACTAAAAGGAGGTGGACAACAATTAAGGTTTTATTATGTTTTCAGAATGTATTGGAAAATTTATATAGAAAGGTTTATTGTTTTGTGTACATTCGATTGTAAGATAAAATATATGCAAAGGGACTTGACAGGAAGTCAAAGTTGAAGAAAAGATTTTGTAAGATAAAAGGGGGAAAATATTTACTTTCACTATTATCACATGTGTGTGTGTGTGTGTGTGTGTGTGTGTACATATGTGTGTTTTTGTATGGAATGTTTGGGAGGAAATAAGACGGTAGATAACAAATTACAAACTAAATATTGATGTATGTAATTTTTATTTCTCTTTTTTTTATATAAGATATTTATTAAAGTTTTCAAGATATTACAAAACACACCAATAAATAAAAAATACAAAGTAAAAATATTTAAAAACAATTCATTCCTTCCATTACTTGACCTTCATTTGCTTAGTTCCAGGACCTCTTCACACCTCCCTTTTTGTATTCCAGTTCAATTATTTCGTTCAGCAAATCCCTCCCCTCTTTATGTATCCTAATCATTAATCATAAAATACTGTAATTTTAGATTTTTACATATTAATAAACCATTTTTTCATATTCCTTATAACCTTTCAGCTAAAGTTCACTTAGTTTCTATCCAACATCATTCTAGCATTCATTAATTTTACAATATTTCTGTAAATAGTCTTTAAATTTTTTCCAATCTTCCTCCATCGACTCTTCTCCCTGGTCTCGGATTCTGCCAGTCATTTCCGCCAATTCCATATAGTCCATCACCTTCATCTGCCATTCTTCCAAGGTGGGTAGATCTTGTGTCTTCCAATACTTTGCAATGAGTATTCTTGCTGCTGTTGTGGCATACATAAAGAAAGTTCTGTCCCTCTTTGGCACCAATTGGCCGACTATGCCCAGGAGAAAGGCCTCTGGTTTCTTCAATAAGGTATATTTAAATACCTTTTTCAATTCATTATATATCATCTCCCAGAAAGCCTTAACCTTTGGGCACGTCCACCAAAGGTGAAAGAAAGTACCTTCATTTTCTTTACATTTCCAACATTTATTATCGGGCGCATGATAAATTTTTGCAAGCTTGACTGGTGTCATGTACCACCTGTATGTCATTTTCATAATATTCTCTCTTAGGGCATTACATTTCATGCCTGTGGTCCACAACTGTTCCCAGTCAGCAAACATAATGTTATATCCTAAATCTTGTGCCCATTTAATCATAGCAGATTTCACGGTTTCATCCTGAGTATTCCATTTCAACAACAAGTTATACATTTTTGACAAAATCTTAGTATTGGGTTTTAACAATTCTGTTTCCAATTTTGATTTTTCCACCTGGAAGCCAATTTTCTTATCCAAATTATATGCCTCCATTATCTGATAATAATGAAGCCAGTCTCGCACTTTATCTTTTAATTTTTCAAAACTCTGCAATTTCAATTTGTCTCCTTCTTGTTCCAAAATTTCCCAATATTTCGGCCATTTGGCCTCCATATTGAGCCTTTTCTGAGCCTTTGCTTCCATCGGTGACAACCACCTAGGGGTTTTATTTTCCAATAAGTCCTTATATCTTATCCAGACATTTAGCAATGCTTTCCTGACAATATGGTTTTTAAATGCTTTATGTGCTTTAACCTTGTCATACCACACATATGCATGCCACCCAAAAACATTGTTGAAACCTTCTAAATCCAAAATGTCTGTGTTCTCAATCATCTTTAGTGGTAGTATGGTTGTAATTTTTTTTGTAACATAAAATCATTCAATAAAAATTATTTTATTTTTATTTTTTAAAAAAGAACTTTGCTTCAGGATGAGAACAGAAATCGCATGGCAGCGGGAGGCCCCATTAGCTAAAGTGGTGCTTCAGGTTAAGAACAGTTTCAGGTTAAGAACAGACCTCCGGAACGAATTAAGTACATAACCAGAGGTACCACTGTATATATTTTTGCATGCAATTTCCCTTGACACACTTTGGAACTCCCTGCCTATTGAGTTCAGGCAGGCTTCTTCGCTGTACTCTTTCTGAAGCCTGCTAAAAACATTTTTTCTTAAACAAGCCCACCCAGACATGTAGAATGTGGATGTGTGTGATGATCTGCTGTCAGTTTATTGCTGATTTTCTTTAATTTTTTTGAATGTTCAAAACAGTTGTTTTAAACAGTTGTTTTTATTGATAATTTTATTGTTTTATTCTTTGTGTAAACTGCTTTGAGAGATTTTAAAAACTCAAGCGATGTATAAATTTTATGAAATAAATCTGCAAAGCAATTTCCCCTAACGTAATGCATTTGTGCATGATACTTGCACTAATATGTGCTTGTATATGCACACTTCGCCCTTGCATACAAGCCATTTGGAACACACAACTTGGCTGGAAAACTGCAATGAAAATTTGGAGAAGTGCAAATTTTGAACAATGGCCAAGTTTCCGTTCCAAGATTGTTTCAGAAAGTGCAAATTAGTTAACTTTGCCTTTAAATGCAATCTGAATTGACTTTCTTCCTCATTCCCAGCCATGGTAAAACAAGGCCTTAAAGATGCTAGAGTCCTACCTGCTGTAGAGATTGTAGTCACAATTACAGGCACATTTATTAATTGTCTGGGATGATCTTTTTCTTTGTCTTGGCTAATTCCAAGAAGGTGTCTGTTTGTTCTTTTCCCTTTTCAAAGAAGTTTAATTAGGTTTGTGCAAAGTAATACCCTCTTATCTGGAAAATAAATGTCCCCAGTGAATATCACAAGAACAGAAGGTGTTAAACTGAAACAGATTTTCCTCTTGCTCCTTTGGGATGAGAAGTAGGTGAGAGGTTGCTGGTTGCTGCACCCCATATGTTGCTCGAGAGGATTAAACCAAGTGAGATGTTGATTCAGCTGCTTGCAGGAAAGCCAGTGATGCCTTTGGAGGGTTTTCTGGCTCTCCCAGCTGCATCTCATGGGCGACAGTGGCGGGGAGCGGGGCTGGCACACGTCCCGGGGGCGTGGCGTGCTGCCCGTAGGGGCATGGTGCCCAGCACGGGCAGGGGGGCAGCCGTGATGGCACCCTGCCGGGGTTGCACTGCCAGGGGCAGTGCACTCCCCCCGCACACCTCTTCCTCTGCCAGTGATGGGCGATCAGTTGGTTCCCCCCAACTCAGAAGCGTGTTGGCTTGGTTTAACTATGGGAGTGGCTCTTAAATGAAGAGGCCACCTTAGAAAGGCATGAGACCTGTAGCATAGGAGGAAAAAGCTTCTCGCAGATGGCTCCCAATTTAAACCTTGGTTGGAGTGGGAAATACAAGTGTCAGCCAACCAGTATATGAATGAGTTATAATCCTAGTTTGATCAGTATATAACTTTCATGCAGGGACCGCGAACCTGTGGCCTTCCAGGAATTGTGGGACTCCAACTCCCATCATCCCCAGTCAGCATACCCAGTGGCCAATCATCTACCATCAGATGAAGGCTAATGCCATGGGGCCTTGTGGTCAGTCTACTTCCAGGAGGTGCAATTCTTGTATCACCAAGTGGGGAAAAGGGTGTGAGATATAAAAACGCCTGGGGTCCTGAGACCCTCAAAATAAAATCTGAGCAAAATTGGTGAAGCAACAAAAAGTTTTATTGATTACATGAATGTTTCTTGCAAGAATCGGGTGTCCCAAAAGCAGGCACACCCAATTTCAGAAAAACACAAGTTTATATCACCATCCCTTGAGCAAAAAGGTCCCTCCCCTGTCCCCCATTGGCTGGGGGTGTGCAGGAGTTACAGCCTATCACGACCACCTAATTAAAATATTAAACTCTCCTCCCCTGTTGACATCTCCCATTTCGCTAAATCCAGGGACCATCACTCTTAATTACATTTACCCAAATAAGGAAGCGTGTTCCTATGCTTTCACACATTTACTCAAGTGATAAAGCCACTTCCTGCCACCCTCTTAGGCATACCAGAGTCCTACCCTGCTGAAGCATGCTGAAGTGAAGTGATAAAACCACATCTCGACCACCCCCTAGGTGTACGCAAGTTCTCCCCTGCCAAAGCATGCTGAGGTGTCTAGATAAAGCACAGCCTAACAGCAAGCTGCCATGTTTTCAGGTGTTCTAACCCCAAGCCAGTAAAGAGAAGCCTCCAAGCAAGCCTGCGGTTCCTAAGCTGTTGCTCAGGTGTTGCAACTGTTTGAGGTCTTCTGACCTTGTATGAAAAAGCGATATTTTTATTCCTTAAAGGAGGAGATACTTCTGCTGTAAATGTCTTAAAAACTTTTCAATAATCCATAAGAGAAGAAAAGAACCACATGGTGAAAGCTAGTTAGAATTGTGGAGTTGGGAGGGACCCCAAGAGTCATCTAGTCCAACCCCCTTCAATGCTGGAAGAGTTGTATTGTGTCATAGTGTTGGAAATGTGGTGAATGTTGACATTTAATGGCAATTCTTTAGAGGACCAATGGGAAAAGTGACTTCGTTTTGTGGTAGGAAGTATGATTTGATGTTTACATCCCTAGCGCAGTAAACACATTTTAACCTGTAGGAGGTTAATATTTGGGCAGTTCCATGAGTTTGGAGTTCCTCAGTGATCACAATGAGCCAGAAAGAAGTGGGATGTGTGAATGATTCAGGAGCAAATGCTGCTCACTTGGGAGTTTGGAAACGGCTTGAGATTTTACCAGCTGTCTTGGAAAACATTCATCCTTGGCTTGGTAACGTAGTCTGCAGCAGCATGGCCTGGTCACAGAACATCTGTTAAATTTTAATCAAAAGCATGTGGTTTGTATTAATAATTTCTGTTTCTGTGCCTGTGAAACAGCTGGTTTTGCAGTTCACATAGCTCCTTAAGAGTAAAGGCTAACATGGAAGATCTTCATTGCATGTGTCTTCCACAGAAGGTGGATTGGGATATCCTGCTAGATCTGCTGAGCAACCAGCAATAGATCAACAAAGGTTTCAGACTTCCAGTGGTTTAGCCTCAGCAGCAGCAGCAGCAACAACAACATTATTAGGATGCTGAAATGGAGAAAACTACCCAAGCACAGAAGGTGCCCCGACTATTGAAGGAATGGGTTTCTGTGTAGTAAGTTTAAAACTGACTCAACCCCCCTTTTTTTGTTCTTTCAAAAGAGAGCACTTTTAAATGCGTAAAACTTGAGCTGTTGAGCAAAAACATAAACAAGCTCTCTCCTTTATCAGTCACGGCAAGGGATGGCCTTGGCTCTCTAGGGGAACAAAGAAAACACGTCAGAACTTTATCTTATGTGCTGACCACAAAATACGTGCAAGACCGATGTCTGGGGAAAACGCCAAAAGCGTGTTCCCGGAGATGGTGTCCTCGTCCCAGATAAGAGTAGGAAGAGGAAGATCCTTTTATGGTCAGAAGTACAGGAAGGAAGATCCTTTTATGGTTGAGAGTACCAGAGCAGGAACATATGTGATGTCAACCTGCGTATGTAGGCCGACATGGTTGGGCTCCTAGGGGAGGAGTGAGAGGGTGCCTGGAGGATATATAAACTACATGAAACCTGTCATTTCTTTGGACTTGCTGTGGACTTGATCACGCAAGTGCCTTCTGCTATCCGGAGAGCAGAATAAACTCTTTCTTTGAACCAACTCGGTGTCATTTGACTTCCTTCCTCCTGTCCCGGAGCAACACAGACCCAATCGGTGAACTCCAGTAAGGCTACACTATAAAATTGGAGAAATTGAGAGATACATAGCCGCATCGGCAGCATATTTCTCCTTTCTCGTATCTAGAAATGCAAGAAGGGCCTTTACACTTGCCAGAAGCGCGGCTCATCCCTCGCCGGTCCTGGATGGAGCCTTTAGAAAAGTCCCCTATGCCCAGAGACTTTGCACCTGTCCATTGGGAGAGATAGGAAGCCCAGAACACTTATTCTTTAAATGTCCCTTTTATGAAGAGGCACGCAGTAAGTTCATTGATCCCCTACTGGTGAGGCTTGCCGACCTCCCGCAAAAGCAAAAATTTGACCTTTTGCTGTTAGGCAAAGACCAGAAGAAGACCTGGATGGTCGCCAGATTCTATGTGCAAATCTGTAGACGCAGACTATCGCCCAACTCAAAATAGTCCAGTATGAAAATCCCCAAACCCAGTTCCATGGGTGACTCTGAGTCAACTCCCTGGGATAGTTTATTGTTGCACAGTGTGTCTAAATTCATTGTTGTACATTGTTTTAATTGTCTGTTTTACTGAATGTTTTAAATTTGTTTTTAGGTTTTTTTATCTGTTTTAATTATCAGTTTTGTTTTTTATCCACTTAATATTCTATTCTCTGACTGCTGGTCTATGAATGTAATAAACTGATATATATATATATATATATATATATATATATATATATATATACACATATATATATATATATATATACCCAAGCACAGACTTTTTGTGTGCAATGACTGCAAGCTCAGCTCAGTTTTGGTACTGAAAACAAATTCCTAGGCTCAGAGGCACCCTAGGAACATAGGAAGCTGCTTTATACTGAATCAGACCTTCGGTGCACCTAGCTCCTTCAATGTACACTGACCGGCAGTAGCTCTCCAAGGTTTCAGGCAAGGAACTCTTCCAGCCCTGCCTGAAGATGCAGGGGATGGAACCTGGGATCTTTTGCACACAAAGCAGATGCCCTAACACTGAGCTATTTCTTGTTCTTTATTTCTTGATTCTTGTTCTTTGTTTCTTTTGCACCCGGCTTGGGTTGGGGAGATGCTGGCATTCTATTTTTAAAAATCACCATCAAAGTCTGCCCCCACCCTGATCTCAAGAGTGATCTAGATCTTTGACCACTAGATCTGCTGAGCGCTGAGTGCACATGCTCAGAATCTGGTGGAATATTCTGAGCCAGAGTCCTTCTGGGGAAATGAGGCTTGACTCTTAGCAGAGCCCAGCGTTTAAGCCTGGGCAAATTAATATAGCAAGCCAGAGAGCTCTATGAATTGCAGCAACATCACTAACACAAAGATATAATTCCCACGCGCCTGCCACTGAACATAAGAAGAGCCCTGCTGGACCACCGAATCCAGCCTCCTGCTCTCACAGGGACCCACCAGCTGTGGATGGGAAGCCCACAAGCAAAGCCCAAGAGCAACAGCAACTCAGCCACTTGGGCATCCCACCAGCTGGTATTCAGAGGAGGGAGGACATGGCCACTGGGTTACTAGCCATGGTCACAGCCTTACCCTTATTTCTCATTTGAGAGAGGGTTTGGGTGACTTAGCCTTATCCAGACATTGATAGCCTTAACTTGCCTTCTAGGATGCTCCATGCAAAATTAGAACAATTGCATTGTTGAGTCAGAAAGCTTTTTCTTAGCCCTGCTTAGCCTTGCCACCCTCTGATTCTGGCCTGGCATTTGGACATCTACGGAAAGCACCCAGCTGGCTCTCAAATTTACTCATCAGAATTTTCTGACATTCACCTCTGGATTTGGTAAAAGTTTAAGCATTGACCAAATTTCTTGCTGTAAGACTGGCATGCAACACAAACTGTGTGTGGTTTCTGCATGTCCCTTGGAAGAGCAACTTCCTCAGCTCTTGACCACAAAGAGCACTGCCAAGGGAGTTATGGAGAAGCAAGATCCAGTTTGGGACTGACTCTGTGAAGAAGGAATTCAGCGGAGTAAAACCATAATTAACTCCTTAGTCTGCATTGGCCAGGACAGCCCTGGTTCACAAGACCTTGGGTTTGGCAGGGGGTTGGAAAACGGACAGATTTGTGGTTCACCCATCACTTCCCAACCTTGCAACTTACAAAAATGTTTGAATAATTTTCAAGGAAGGGAAGGGAAGTTAAGTGCAGGCCATACATTTCTGCAAAATGACACTTATAAGCAGAAGCTATGAAAGCAATGTTTAGGGTGTATCCAAGAGCCATAAATAGTACTGGGGTAGGGGAGGAGAGTAATGCACAGGAGTAATGCAAAGATGTATCTCCTAACCACTGAAAGTAATGTGTGGCATATATTCAGAAGCAGCTGTAAATAGCATTAGCCAAAGCAAACGCTGAGCATCTGCATAACAACAGAGATAAACACAGCCAGTGGAGGTGATGAGTGGAAGCGTCATAATGTGTGATATTAACAGATGCAATCCTTTGTAACAGCTGGGGTAACATTTAAAAAAGAAAAGAAGATGGAGGCACCAGAAGCAATGTGACAGGAGGTTTCAGCATCCCTCTGGCAAGGCGGTGGGCTTGTTTATGGCGGGGAAGGAAAGGCCGCTTTGACAGAGCCATAACTTCTCCCAAATAACTTTATGTATCAGATGCAGTGCCGTCCCTTGGCAGGGATTCTTGGTGGCTCAGCTCTCTCCTGGCTCATTTGCCTTTCAAATGGACTTGCCTCTTTCTGGGAGCAGCGCATGAGTAGCATGTTCAAAATCGGTGACTCCAAGAAGCTGAGTTTAGCACGTGCATTACTATTAAACAAATGCATGGAGGAAAGGACTCTTGATGGCTAGTGGCCAGGGTGGCTCTGCTCTGAATAACTTGCTGGAAACCACAGGAGGGGAGACGGGGCTCTTGTGCTCGAGTCCTGCTTGCAGGTTTCCCACAGAAATCTGTTCAGCCCCTATGAGAAGAGGGTGCTGGACTAAATGGACCACTGCCCTGACCCAGCAGGTTATTCATGTGTTTGTACTCTAGCCTAGTAACAGCAAGGAAGCCAGAAGAGTGATCCGCAGTACAACAACATTTCATAATTTAAAATTAAGGTATCCTTGAACATTAGCTTTGGAAACATAATGCAGAACACTTCTAGCAAAGATCCCTCAAGTCATTGCATTTGTCAAACTGCTTACTTCTTAGAATTGAGAATGTCTTCTCTCTCTTTCTCGGAAGGAAAAGATCTACATCCTATTTTAAGCTGATAAAGCTGCTCATTTCCCGTGAGATTGAGCTTGAATCTGTAAAATACCGTTTGAATACAGAACTCCTATCAAACGGGAGCAGAATGAGAAAGCCCAGACAAGCCATCTTGGCTGCAAAGGAGTGGGCCCCATAAATGCTGTCCTCCCCAGATGCAATATCCACAGCCTTACTGGCTTCAGGGGCCTGTCTCTTAATTTGCAGTCCTGCTGCTTCACTTCTGCCCATAAATTCCTGATGCAGCACACAATTCTCACTTGCTTCCTGGAGAGTTTATGAGCAGCATTCTGCGCCTCTGGTAATTTCAGGGCTGTTAACAAATAAAAGGGATGTTCAGAAGAGCCCCACCAGCCATTCAGTCTGAAACTGCACAATCCAGAATATGGGACAATTGATCAATATATTCCAAGATATAGATGGAACTTGCTTTATTTAGCCAATGCAGCAAACCAAAGAACAGGTAAGAAACAGCTGCCCTCAGAGCTGATAGGATTTCTAGGAGTGCAAACCCCGCCCCTCGTGACTGTGAGTGGGGGAGAATGATTTCACCCTTCCCCTCCTCTGAAGGAGGAACAAAGTCCATGGAGGGGAAGGGCTGAATGTCCCTCCTTATGGCAGCTCCACTCCTAGACCTCTCGAGCTCCAGCACTGCCACCCTCCCACCTTACTTTGCAGTATGGAGGGCATGAGGATGCCAAGGCCTCCAGGGGTAGTTGGACTCAAACTGCCACCATCCCTGGCTATTGCCTGGGGCTGATGGAATCCACTTCAGCAAATGATCCCTGTGTGCTTCTGGACAGGCACTTAATTTGCCAATGGACTGTTGCTAGCACAATTGGATAATTGGGCATAGTGTTTTGTTTTGTTTTGTTTTGTTTTGTCTTGTTTTGTTACTTACTGGATTTTCCTCAGAAATGGCAAATCCAGATTGAATGGGGGGGGTGGACAGGGTTGGCATTTTGATGTTAATAACATTGTGGAGCATTCAGAGCAATGACCACAGCTCATGGAGTGCAGCATGGCACCATCTGGAAGTCTTAGCACAGGCTTCCTCAACCTCGGCCCTCCAGATGTTTTTGGCCTACAACTCCCATGATCCCTAGCTAGCAGGACCAGTGGTCAGGGATGATGGGAATTGTAGTCTCAAAACATCTGGAGGGCCAAGGTTGAGGAAGCCTGTTATTGCAGATCAGATTGTTATTATTAATGTTTGGTGTTTTATTATGTTTTCGTATGTGTTGGAAGCCGCCCAGAGTGGCTGGAGCTGGAGTCCAGATGCTATTGGTCTCCAACTCCCAACAACCCCAACCAGCATGGCCAGTGGTCATGGAGGATGGGAGGGACATCTGGTGGATGCTTGGTCTACCACCTTTTTGTGTTAAAGGTGTCCATTGGCTCTTAACTTCTCCAAGGCAGTTGAAGAATGGCTTCAGGGGAAGAAGGTTGTGTGTGTCATTCATTTGGATGACGGCCCACAACTCCTCTTGCCTGCTAAGCTAGGAGCTGCCATCATTCATACGCATCTCAGTTCTGTAGTGGGGATTTCATTAGTGGAGCCTGTTATCCTAATATATGAGTAGACTGCAAAGCAGTCCCTCAGCACTTGCCGGTAGGGCTGGGCAATAACTGGTTTTCAGCATTGTGATAAGGGAGGAACTATGCAGAGGCAAACAGGACAATGCTGTGGCAACTGCTGCAGAAGCCTGTGGTGACTCACGGCAGTGACAGGAGGTGACGGCAGTAGCGGCATCCTGAGAGGCCTTCCGGTGGCGACAGCAGATGGTGGCAATAGTAGTGGCAGCGGCCTGCAAGTCCTCCTGGTGATAGTGGGAGGCGGTGACAGAAGCTGTGGCAGCCTGCCTCACCGAGGCCTCGCAGGCCGCCTCTGCTTCTGCCAGCATCTCCTGCTGCCACCGCATGGTCTCGCAGGCCGCCACGATGGTCACCGCTATGAAAAGATCTTCCAGGCTGTCACCGCCTTTGCCACTGCCACAAAACCTTGCAGGCTGCCGCTACTGCTGCCACCACAACAAGGCCTCGCAAGCTGCCACTGCTCCCCCCTCCCCCGGTTGTTGATTCTGCCGCCACCAGGCTTCTGCTGCTTGTGGCAGCCTGGCAGTCCCAGATTATTTGTATTCACTATGACTCCTCACCGTACTTTGGATTGTCCTGAATACCACCATTTGGCAGCCAAGCCCTAAACCGAAAGTCTCATTTGGGTGCATTTTGGCTTGCCTGCTGAGTAAACTGAGTGTGTGATGATTGATAATATTGTCATGTATCCATTTTAGACCCCTAAGTAGTAACAGTTGCCTGGACATTGTCCTGTTTGCCTCTGTATAGTCCCATCATTATTTCAGACATTGTGGTAGATTGCAATGTTTAGTAGGTGATATTCTGAGGTTTGCAGTGTTTAGCTGGTGAGTTATATTATGAAACAATTATCACAATGTGAACTTCAAACCAGTTTTGGAAGATATATCCATATATTACCCAATCCTACTTGCCAGGTTTGTGGGCTGCAGCTTTGGGGGCGTTTTGGGAAGGAGACAGGGGTGGCGGAGAGCAAACGACCTCCTTGCTGCCATTGGTTTTGTGTTCCAATGAGTTTCACAGGATCACCTTGATCTGGCAAAGGATATTAACAGCAGCTTTCAAGCACTCTTCTTCCCCTCATGGTCATGCAGCTAAACCTTAATTGCACTGGCAGATTCCCTGCCTCCCTCCTTAGTTCCACAGCCTAAAAGATGCTGGTGCTTCACAAATGAGGTTTGGGATTGGGCGGTTTGATCCTTGTCACTGAACCTCAGGAGGACATTGGTCAAGTCTCCACCTGCTTCTGATGTAGTTTGGAGTAGGGGGAAGTCAAGCCCACCTAAGGCTTACTAAACTCAGGCCCCAAACCCCACTTCCCCCAAAATGTGCTAAGATATTTTTCCACACCACAAATGGCCTATTAGAGATATTGCCCCCAAATACTTCCAAGAACATGCCTAAGAATCAATTGCAGGGGGCAAGCACATCGTCCAGGCCTACAGCATGCAGAGGTGTCTTTGTGTAGCCTGTTTGAATGTGCCATCAAGTTCAGTGCATAGCTAGCTCCTCTGCTAGCAGTCTGCAGGGAATTGTGAGTTTTTAAAACATTGCCTCCCCATCAACTCTCTCAGGTTTTTCGTAGATATCAACAGTATCATGTCACCTGGTGAGTTCATGTCCATTCTGTTTCTAACACCTCCTCTTGTTTCTCTTGCCTGCAGGTGAAAGATAGGATGGTGGTGGGCGAGTTGAGCATGTATAGCCCAATCCTGGCCTGCTGGCAGCCCATTCTCATCTTGATGTTGGGATCCATCCTCTCAGGCTCTGCCACAGGTTGCCCACCCCGCTGTGACTGTTCTGCCCAGGAGCGCTCGGTGCTGTGCCACCGGAAGCGGTTCCTGGCTGTCCCTGAGGGCATCCCCACGGAGACAAAGCTCTTGGACCTGGGAAAGAACCGCATCAAGACTCTCAACCAGGATGAATTTGCCAATTTTCCTCACTTGGAGGAGCTGGAGTTAAACGAGAACATTATCAGTGCCATTGAGCCGGGGGCTTTCAATAACCTTTTCAACCTCAGGACTCTGGGTCTCAGGAGCAACAGGCTCAAACTCATCCCACTCGGGGTGTTCACTGGACTCAGCAATCTCACCAAGTTGGACATTAGCGAGAACAAAATTGTGATCCTCCTGGATTATATGTTCCAGGACTTGTACAATCTGAAGTCTTTGGAGGTTGGGGACAATGACCTGGTCTACATCTCCCACCGGGCCTTCAGCGGCCTCAACAGCTTAGAGCAGCTGACTTTGGAAAAATGCAACCTGACGTCCATCCCCACAGAAGCTCTCTCTCACTTGCACGGTTTGATTGTGCTGCGGTTGCGCCACCTGAACATCAACGCCATCAGGGATTACTCATTTAAGAGGCTCTACAGACTCAAGGTTCTGGAGATTTCACACTGGCCCTACTTGGATACCATGACATCCAACTGCCTCTACGGGCTTAACTTGACATCCTTGTCCATCACTCACTGCAACCTGACTTCCATCCCTTACGTCTCCTTGAGGCACTTGGTTTATCTCAGGTTCCTGAACCTGTCCTACAACCCCATCATCACCATCGAAGGCTCCATGCTTCACGATCTACTCAGGCTTCAGGAGATACAGCTGGTTGGTGGCCAGCTCACCATGGTGGAACCATACGCTTTCCGGGGCCTGAACTACTTGCGCATTTTGAATGTTTCAGGGAACCTCCTGAGCACCTTGGAAGAGTCAGCCTTCCACTCTGTGGGGAATCTGGAGACTCTCATCATAGACAACAACCCTCTGGCTTGTGACTGCCGGCTTCTCTGGATTTTCCGCCGCCGTTGGAGGCTCAATTTCAACAAGCGTCAACCCACCTGCGCAACCCCTGAATTTGTCCAAGGCAAAGAGTTCAAGGACTTCTCCGAGGCACTCCTGCCCAACTACTTCATCTGCCGCCGGTCCCGGATAAGGGACCGCAAGCCCCAGCAGATCTTTGTGGATGAGGGCCACACGGTCCAGTTCATCTGCCGTGCGGATGGAGACCCACCTCCGACCATCATGTGGCTCTCACCAAGGAAGCACCTCATCTCTACCAAAACCAATGGGCGGCTCACCGTCTTCCCTGATGGCACTCTTGAGGTGCGCTATGCCCAGATCCAAGACAACGGCACCTACCTATGCATCGCCAGCAATGCTGGCGGCAACGACACCATGCTGGCCCACCTGCACGTCCGCAGCTACTCCCCCGACTGGCCCCACCAGCCCAACAAGACCTTTGCTTTCATCTCCAACCAGCCCAACGAGAGCGACGCCAACAGCACGCGAGCCACGGTGCCTTTCCCCTTTGACATCAAGACCCTCATCATTGCCACCACAATGGGCTTCATCTCCTTCCTGGGGGTCGTCCTCTTCTGCCTGGTGCTCCTCTTCCTTTGGAGCCGGGGCAAAGGCAACACCAAGCACAACATCGAAATAGAGTATGTCCCGCGCAAATCCGATGCCGGCATCAGCTCTGCCGCGGATGCGCCACGCAAGTTCAACATGAAAATGATCTGAGGAAGGGAGAAGGAGAGAAAGCAATGGCTGGAACTCAGTAATGAGAGGCGTGTGTGGGGGGTTTTTTTTAATAAAAAAGATTTAATAATAAAGAGATCCAGTTCAAGAAACATGCAAACCTCTCTTCTCTCCACCCAGCTCCCCACCCTCCTTCTGTGGCCCACAATCCTGCATCACTTCCCCCTTGACCTTTTTGGGGGGGGGGGGTTCTGCTGACGTCTCCAGAACTTCCCATGTTTGTAGGACCTATTCTGACAGACTCCAGTGTCGATCCTAACAATGACAGGAAATTCAACAAGAATTCAAAACAACAATTGATTTAAAAAAGAAAGTTACGAACTTCCTCTGTAACTTTGATTTCAATAATTATGGATTTTTATGAAAACTTGAAATAATAATAAAAAAACTATTTCCTATAGATAGTTGGAATGCAAAATCTTGACTTCTTGATCTGTCCACATTCGTTTCTGGCTCTTGCTTGATTTTTATTTTTAATGCTTCTCTAGGATTGGCTCTGACTGACCTTGGGTTGCAAGCAGATGCAAAAAGGCGGCACTGCTCCTGCACCTTGAATAGCAAAGGGCATCGCTTCCGGTGCTGCTCTTATACCTTTCTGTCTATGCACTATGCAAGGTGAGGTGGTCAATCAAAGTGATAACATTTCAGGCAGTGCTACCTCTGACTGCAGGTGGGGACATCCCATTTTTAAATGCTCGCCCAAGTTTGTTGGGTTGTTGTTTTTTAATCCCTGCTCAGGGTTTGAGAATCTGTGGCCCTCCAGCTATTCTTGGAGTCTAGCTGCCATCAGTCCCAGTCAGCATGTCCAATAGTGAGGGATGATGGGAGTCTGAGTTCAAGAACATATGGAGGGTCACAGATTCCTCTCCCCATGCTAGATGAGCACACAAGGAAAAGAGGCACATTGAGCATTAGTCCCTGATATGCTTGTCTCTTGTATACAGAAAACTTTCTCTGAGGTGTTGAGAGCATTCAGATCTATGACACACCCCATTGGCAGCTTGCCTAGAGCTCTGCTGCTTTACTCTGCGTCTTGTGCAGAATGTTTCCTTCTCCATTCTTGAAGAAACCCTCCCAGAATAGAATTGCTCATAAGTCTTCCCAGAAGCCAGTGGCTCAGAATAAACTCTTTGGCTTAGCCAAGGCCTGGGGAGCAAGGTCCGTTTGTCCCCCCCCCCCTAAAATATTTGAGGTGGCTGGGCTCCCCCAAAACTGATGTACATTGCCATTCAAATGGTGTGTGTGTGTCACGTCCTGTGATCAATTATGTGGGGCAGGGCTTACCTCCCCCCCCCCCATATTTTATTCAAGTTGGCACCCCTGGCATGCAGAAGTTCCCAGATTCAGTCCTCCAGCATTTCTGGTTGTTAATATTATAAATTACCGGTTAATTAATTAATTACATTTGCATACTGCCCTGTACCCACAGGTCTCAGGTAGGATCAGGTAGCAGTAAAAGGAGCAACCTCTCTCTTCCTGCCCCCTAGGGAACTGCTGCCAGTCAGAGTAGACAGTCATGGCTAGAAGGAACCCCCAAGTTGACCTTGTATTAGGCCAGGCACAGGCAAACTCGGTCCTCCAGATGTTTTGGGACTACAGCTACCATTATCCCTAGCTAACAGGACCAGTGGTCGGGGATGATGGGAGTTGTAGTATCAAAACATCTGAAGGGCCAAGTTTGCCTATGCCTGTATTAGGCAGCTTCTTAAGCTCCCTTCAGATAAGCATAGTAAGTGGCTTTATATCGAATCAGACCGTCTAACCCAACAGTCCATACTGACTGGCAGTGACCCTCCCAGATTTCAGACAAGGGGCATTCCTTTCTCTGCCTGGAGACACTGGGGATTGAACCTGGGACCTTCTGCATGCAAAGCAGATGCTCAGCCACTGAGCTAAGGCTGCTGTAGGTTACCTTGCAATCCTGGGTATGGCTGTTCAGAAGTCAGCCTTACCAAGTTAAATGGACATGCAGCTAAGTGTGCTTAAGCCTGCAGCTTTACAGATGAAGCCTTTTGAATATGTATGTTCATATGGAGGAACAATTGTGTGGGTGAATATGAGCGGGGGGTGCATGTGCAGGGATGTGAGTGCATAGATGGTCCTTCTCACGTGTGCATTGCTCCCCCCCTTCCTCTGCTGGCATGTGACAGCCCCAACCCCAAAGCTGGCCAAAAGGAATGTGGCCTTTGGTCAGAAAAAAGTTTCCCTATCCCTGCTATATATGTCTACTCAAATGCAAGCCACTATGGATTTCAGTGGACTTACTTCCAGGTAAGTGAGTACAGGATTACAGTATCATTACATTGCATCTCGGATGCTCAGGAACGTGAGCGATGCCACGCTGCTGCTGCTGCTGCTGCAAGGGCAGGTGCAAAAGTCTCTCTCTCACACAGGTCATCCTTAATGTTGAATCTGAAGCTGCTGCGGCTTGTGATAAATGGAACTCCTGCATTCTCAGCTGTACATCCAGCAGCCTCTCTTTATCAGCTCGTTTCTGTTTGTCAATGCCAGGTAGGCCTGTTCACTGAGTTAATTGAACCAGGTGCCCTTTTCCTATGGAGAAAAGGGCCTTTCTGTCCATTCCAAGGGCCTTTCTGTCCATTCTCCTCCATTAGAGCATTGCCTGCTTGGCATCTATTTACATTTCAGATCTGCAGTATCTGGATGCCAGTGAGCACCCTGCTAGCTATGAATGACTAAGCCAGCTCCAAGAGGATGCCAAGGGATACAAGGCTGTTACTCTTGCTCTGTCCCCATTGATAAAAGCAGCAGCAGAGTTGGAAGTGAAACAGTAGCTCATGTTGTTGTTGTTTTGTTTTTGAGAGAGAGAGAGAGAGAGAGAGAGAGAGAGAGAGAGAGAGAAGCAAAAGAAACCTAGAGAATTCACAGAGACCTCTGTCAAGGATGTCCTTGGCATCAGGTGAAACAAATCTCATGGCTGAGATCTATCTTGTGTTTGCACTGGTGGAGAAGGCAGGATTTATATATTTTTGCAGGAAGCCTAGTGATGGCTTTATACTCCTATTCCCTGGGCTATTAGTTAGTATTAAATAGCAGAAGCTGAAGGTAGCCATACATCAGGAAGTGCGCTGAGGTACATGAAGTGAGTGTGGCCCTCCAGACTCCCCCCAAGCTTCTTCCCTGGCGGAAATGTGTCCTTGAACTGCGACAATGGCTCTCACTTGTCAGGTGTAGAAACCGCAGCCTCTGGATTATATCCTGTACAAAGGTAAGAGTCGCATCTTCCAGTGGCTCTGCCCACCTTTGCCTTGGCCCCTACGCAATGGCTGCATGTGGACCCTGGAAAGTTGTCCATGAGCAAATGCGGACTTCAGGCTGAAACTAATATTCCCCACATGTGGCCTCAAACATCCTATGCCAGTCCATCCTCCCGAACACGTTCCCATCTTGCAACGGAAGTCAGCATGGAGCTTTGCAGTTCCAGATTCAGAGCCACCTCCAATGCCTGTCTGTTGGGATAACTTTCTCTTTTGTTATTCATTGTTGGTTTATATGTTACAGAACACAAGGAAAAAAGACAATCCTTCAGGCAGCATGAAGTTAAACTGCGGAACTCCCTCCCACAGGAGGCAGGGATGGCCACCAACTTGGATGGCTTCAAAAGAGGATTAGACAGATTCATGGCGGAGCAGAGGGCTATGGGTGACTTCTAGTCATGGTGGCTCTGCTCTGCCTCCCCAGCAATGCTTCTGAATCCCAGTTGCTGAAGACCACAGGAGGAGAGAGATCTCTTGGGCTCAAATCCTGCTTGCTGGTTTCACACAGCATGTGCTGGCCATGGTGAGAACAGGAGGCTGGACTAGATGGGCCCTTGGCCTGATCCAGCAGGCTCTTATTACGATATAGTTCATGTATCTGGCTGCAACACAGGGGTAAATCAAATGGCAGGGGATCAAGTGATGGGTGTGACTTATCTAAGCCAGCCCTAGCATTCCAAATGACCAATTCCAACAGGTGCCACCTGCAAATCCAGCTCCATTTCAGGCCCATTTCTCGGTTTGGAGCTGGAAAAAGTCAGGGCTGTGTAGGGAGGAGTTATGCCTGTGTTGACCTTATAGAAACAACAGATGTCCAGAGTGGCTGCAGTTCTTTGAGGGGGCAGCTGAGTGGCATCCGCTTGCTACTGCCTGCCCTCAGAGTCTGGTTGCTCCCAAAATAGACCTCTGCCTTTTGTCTGTCTTGGCCTCCGGCAGGGATTCATTTGCCATGGCCATCCGCCTACACCTTCCACAGGGAGTTCCTTCCTGGCAAAACCTTCCTCTGGTTCCCCTTCAACTGTCTCATAATAACTCCCACCGGCTTGCTTCATCCTTGGCAGCTGAGAGCTAGACTCCGATAGCACCCCCCTCAGGCCTTTCCTCGGGACTTCAGCTGTCAATGCCGTGGGAGGGCTGGAAATCTGGTGACAGCAGAGCAGGCTTGTAAGAAAAGAAAGAGGCTCACTTGGGTGCAGAAGGGGCAAGGTGTTCACCATCTGCTGAACTCTGCAGTAACCGGAGTCCCAAGGGCAGCAGGTCTAGAGACCAAGGTGCATCTCACCTACGTTAACAGGATTGGTGCCACCATCTGTGGAAATGTTGCACAAATTCTATAATAGACCCACACCCTGCTGCCTCTTTACCTCTTGGTGCTCCCCCTAGTTAATCCCACCTCCTGCCCTCCAGAGGGCAACCACACCGGCTTTGGGAACCATTGGCAATTTAGAGCAGGGGCTTGTAGCCCTCAGGTGTTGGAACGCAACATCCCTCAGTTCCAGCCATCAAATGATATATACGTATAAAATGGCATTTGATGTTCTTGACTCCCAGCTGTGCAGCGCCTCCTTTTTCTACTGTTTAGTTTCCTGCATTTGCTTTAAACCTGTGGCCCTTGAGATGTTGTTGGACTCCAACTCCCATGAGCCAGCAGGGCCAAAGGAGGGAGCAACCTCCATAGAGCCACAGGTTCCTCACTCACTCCAGCTTTAGTCTGCATAGTCCACCTACCCTGTCACCTTAAAATAAAGCAAAACCTCAAAGTTGAGGTTTTGGTGCTAAGGATATGTCTTTTATATGCGCATCCGTACACATGTCAGCCCATTGGTGCGACTTGCACATTGTAGCCTACTCTGACTGCCAGAGGCTCTCTAAGGACTCAGAGAGGAATCTGATTGCCTTTGCCTGCAAAGCAGGTGCTCCACCCTTTTGGTCATGTGAGCACAATTGTTTTCTAGAAGAATTTACTAGGAAAGCTCTACTCCACTCAGCATACACAGTCCCTGAGTGAGTGTATCCTTTGTCTGAAATGCAAGCCCATGGGTGCTCAACCCTACCATCAGGTTCCATATTGCAGGTTGTGGCTGTAAACACTCCAAATGTTGTCAATCAAGCGACATCTGGTGGGCCAAAGGTTCCTCATCCCTGATGTACATAGAGATCAATAGTGAGCTAGAGAGTCTGGTGATCTCACAGTTTAACCCCACCCCACCCCCGAGGAAAGAGATTTGTGTGCACAATCCAACTTCTGTTTAGTGCCATGACACGGGTGCCCTTCCACCAATGTAAAATTATCACCCAGAGAAGTTAGAGGAAGTGGCACTGAAGCAATCAGAAAATGCTAGATGCCCCAAATACAGTGGTACCTCGGGTTACATACGCTTCAGGTTACAGACTCTGCTAACCCAGAAATAGTATTTCAGGTTAAGAACTTTGCTTCAGGATGAGAACAGAAATTGTGCTCCTGCGGTGTGGCGGCAGCAGGAGGCCCCATTAGCTAAAGTGGTGCTTCAGGTTAAGAACAGTTTCAGGTTAAGAACGGACCTTTGGAACTAATTAAGTTCTTAACCCGAGGTACCGCTGTAACCAGCTAGCCATGCATATCAGACCACAAGGGATTTTGCCAAGTGCAAAAATGGTGGGGGGGTTTGCGGGGGCCGGAGGGCAGTCGAGCATAGGAGCTTGGCTAGGATGCAGCCTTTACGCAGCACAGGTGTAAATGCCTTCAAGAGCTACTTCCTCTTCCCCACAGGGGAAGTGTAGTTATGTGTGGAGGAGCCAGGAGTCTCTCTCATGGAAAGCCAAGCACCCACAAACTACTTATACTCAGAAATCTTTGGGGAAATGTGCAAACACTAAGGGCCTGTCCACATGTCCGTTTGTCCCAAGCTTTCTTAGAATTTGTTTTGGATCAATAGCAATGGTCCAAAAGCTGTTCATGTATATCACAACTCGGAAACGCGAAGCAACACATTTTACCACTGTATTGAAAAACCCTGGAAAACCCAAATAGAAATTTGTTCCCTTCCAATTCAATCCTTTTGCAGGGCTCCCTTTCCCTTGTGGCACATTGTGTGGGTGTTCCTCTGTGACCCCAGCCCCTTGTGTCTCCACACATTGTCTCCAGAGCCTGTTGCTGTGCCCTTCTGATTCCCTGCCCCAAACGTGTCTCCCTTTTGCAATCCTACAGGCGGTGCCTTTTTACTGGGGGGATGCATGCCTCTAAACATTTTATGAATCTAAGTTTGGCCTCACTGAGGGGCAGTATTTCAATATGAGTAGGAAAATAAGAGTACTCCTAAACATTTTTTAGAAAAAAAAGCACTGCCTACAGGCATTGTGATCAATTACATATATGTTTATTTTCAACTTGTGCTTGTTGGACACCTCCTTTGGTGTTCTAGAGAAGCAACAACCTGATATTGTGTGCTTGTGCGCAGGAACACAATGGACCACAAGAACCCCCGAGCAACTGAAAAGAAAGGCATGTGCAGCAACACTGTGGCACCAGGGGCTGAGAAAGGGGTGGGTAAGAAGGAAGAAAAATGGAGCAGCGGTGGGTGGGATGTCACATGTTTTCAGGGCTGCCTTCTTGAAGTAGCGCAGAACAGGTATGGCATGAGGACC